ACCATCTTTTGTGACCAGTTTGTCTCCAACAGGTTTCACCCGACTCAGTCCTGATCTTTCCTTGCGATGTCCTCTGTCCCCCCGTCCTCTACGTCCTTGGCTCCTCTGACAGCTGCCCAACATCATCTGATGGGAAATACAAGCGAGCACCATCAGGATGGCTATGTTGGTGAGGAGAGCCATGAAATCCACAGAACACCACCTGCAAAAGAATCCATTAGAGATATGACCCAATACCACTCACAATGCACTTTTCAATGAGAACTGTTTTAAGCCACTACTAGATTAACATTCTGGAAGAATTGAGAGGATAATCAAACTTTTGAAAATAGCATTTCACTCCTATTTGAGTTTGAGAAACTGATTTCAAAATTAGATATACACAAATATTGTAGGTTCATAAAACAGAACTTCTTTAATTTGAGTTCAGTTTACATTAAGCTATACATAACAATTTTGCAAAATAAGAAGCTTTTTCCACTTATTTAAATACATATAAAATTATAAATAACTATTCCTCAAAAATGGTATTCTAACTTTACAATGCAATATCAGTGTTAGAAATGAAGATGCTAATTTTTAAAACTCTTAAATGTAGTCATGTCTGTAATAACATAATGTTATTCATTTAAAATTGATACAAAGTGTTATGCTAATGTATCAAATGAATTAAACATATTGTAGTTAAAACACAACTAAAGGCTCTACAGAGCAGGCTTACTGAAAAAATTGGTCAAACTTACTTGGCGTTTTCAGAGAAAGTTCAGTTTGCTGTCCTGACACATTTGAGCTCTCGTCTTTTCTTGCAGGTTGCAAATGCTGCTGCAAAGTCAGCCCTCCCCTTCAAACCCAGAGCCACACACACACACGATGTATCAAATACAGGCACATGCACAGACATATATGCATATACTCAATACAACGTCCAAGCGAATATACTTACTGAATTCAAAAGTGTTTAGAAATAAATGAAGCTTAACTTTGGCCCCAAAATAAAACAAATTAACTTTACTTGTATTAAAATCAGAAACTATGACCCATACACAAAGAGAAGTCAGCTGAATTGTAATACATTGTGCCTCACTCTCTGACTGAAAGGGAGTAAATGTATATATATAATGTGGATGTGTTAAAAATTTGACTTTACCTATGCCGAGGAATCACATTTAAGAGAATTTTCCAGTTTCAGAATGAGATTCCTGCTTCAAGAAATCTAAACTACACAGCAAGAAATTCTGCAATTTTTAGAAAAGATGACATCTGGGACATTTGAGTCCTTCACTTGATCTTCTGTGAGATTCGGTGAAGTTCAAATGATTTTAAAATGTGTAAGGTGACCCAACATGAGAAAAAAATTTAACAAGTGAGGTTTAATTCATTTACATCATGACGGTTGTTCTTTCTTAGTTTACTTCAATAGTTTGACTCACGAATCATGAAGCAGGAGGATTAATGTCATTAAAACCTTTTCATATTTTGTCACATTGCAACCACAAAGTTCAGTGCATATTAATGGGATTTTATGCAACAGATAAACATAAGGTAGGTAACTGCAAAGTAGAAGAAGAGAAATGCAAAGTTTTAATTTGTTTTTACTAATAAAAATCAGAAAATCAGGTCAAGTTGTTAATATGACACAAAAAAAAGAGATTAATATTTGTAGCTTTTTATCTTGCCATTGAATACCATGTGTATGTGATCAGAAGCCACCAATATGTAGACATAATTTATAGGATGACCTTGATTTTATTCTTTTTATTCCTATGAATTAAGATTTCATCACAATGAATCCATTTAGTCTAGCCTTATCTTTTACGTTGAGCAACAGTGAATGTTAAAGTTCTGCATTTCCAATAAAAATACATATACCGTTGTCATTTAAATGATTTAGCCCAAGCTGCATCTGCATCAAAGATAAAATGGCTAACAATTACAGTACCGAGGTATCGAAGTACAAAAACAAGGACAATGGAGGCTTTCTTTAGTCTTTGAGACATTTATTTCAGAAATGAATGCTCACTCTTGTCAATAAAAATGTTCATAGGTGTGAAAGAAACAGTGTCCTGCTTATTAAGTAAGAAAAAAAAAACACTGAGATATCTGTAAGCTTCATGATGCATCATATACTTGTTGTATAAAAAAATTTCCCCTCCCTTCACAACCTGTCCTATTATATTTACAATTTTTTTTCCAGTTCAAAATTTCACATGGTACCACTGAAAATAAAGCAGATGGACAAGAATTGTTTAACTTATGGTGTTTATTTGACATTTAAAAGCATATTCACAGTCCATATATATTTTTCAAAAAATACCAGTAGAGAGAGAGTTTTTTTTCAAACATAAATTCTGATCGCTGCAAAACAATATTCAAGCTAATTATAGTAAATATCACAAAAAAACACAAACATCTATCCTATCTTTTCACAGGTTAAAGCAGTTCTAATTCATACAGGTCTACTTCATGCAAAACATAAAAGAAGCTGCTCAAGGTTTCCAAAAAAAATGTAGCATCTAAAATTAGAGAAATAAAAATGTAACAGCCACTGTAGTACCAAGATAATTCCGTAAGAGGGCGCTAAAGATGTTTCAAAACAAATAGCTGGCCTGGATTTTTCCTCATCTGGTGGTTTCAGTCACCAATTCAGCACAATCTGTATGCAGAGGAAGATATACAATCCTGATCAGTATGAATCACTGTTGAAAGAAAAAACATTTAAGCAAACAAGATTACACAGGATTATACTTGTGTAATAAAGGTTTATAGCTTAAAAAGATATAAATCCTGAATTTCTGCTGCTCACCTTTTTTGTTAATTCCGAAACCAACCAATTACAAAGGAACAGACGCCCTGCAGGGACCTCCAGCAGTACTGCCGAGCCATTGTCCTCCGGGCGTTCTCTGTCGGAGCTGCCGTCGGCTGTGATTTGGCTCTCTGTGTGGTTTTAACTATCCCTGAAGCCCGAGCTGTTTTAAAAGGTGTCTTCATTGTCAAATTAGGTCTTCCATGTGCAGATGAACTTTGGGGTTTTCCAGGCTGCTTTGATGGCTGCTTTGATGGCTGCTTTGATGGCTGCGCTGCTGGCCGAGACCTTAGGAAAGGACCGGCCGAGAAGATCATCTGAGATTCATCAGTCGCCTTCCTGCACATGTGAGGTTTGATCTCCCTTGGACCCTGACAGGCGTGTGCTTGCTTCCTGAGGACCCACATCATCTGGACGAAGTAGTGCCTGGGGTTTTTGTTGAAAGCACTGCAGGTGTAAGGTTTCCCCACATACTCACACCAGTAGGCACGTCTGTTGCCCTGGCATGACAGCCTCAGCTTTATGTTTTCTCCTTGGCCTGTAAGGATCATGGTGCACTTGTCCTTAGCCTTGGTTTGGAACTTGATGGGATCGTCCCAGATGCTTTGTCTCCTTTCGTCCTGTGCCTCAGCTGGCCAAAGGCAGCAGGCCAGCAGCAGAGCAGTGGCTTGGGTCCACATGGTGCCAGATAGCTGCCGAGAGCAGGATGAGAGTGGAACTGCCTGAGCTGAGGCTTCCTCTGGGTATTTATTGGCCAAGCAGACACACAGTAAGTTTAGGGAACAAAAAATGAGTCAGACTAAGAAAAAGTGGTTATATGGGTGGAGGAGGGGAAAGCCACGTTAGTTCCTGCTGAAATATATGTAAAGCCCACTAAGAAGCAACATGGATTCTCATGTTTGATTGTTTCACATAAAAGAAACAACTGACCGAGATGAAGAAATCTTTTTTTTTTTTTTTTCCAACATTTACTGACTTTAAAACTTTATAGGTCAGTTTCACACTGGATTAATGCGCCCTAATGCACTCATAACCACATATTGTCACAGTTTCCAATTTGATAGATTTTAAGTAGAAATGTGAAATCTGATAGAAACAAGAAAGCTGAACCTCTCTTGTTTACTTTAAGTGGCAGTTAAGGCTCATAACTGTGCAGGGTAACCTATCATTTCCCTCTAAACATAAACCCAGGACAGTGCCACAGAGAAACATGAGTACACAATTGCAGGGATAAGACTGAAAAAGGAGGCAGTAATGGCCATGCCAATTAAGAAAGCACAAGGAAATGTACAAAATAGGAGGGAAGGATGAAGTACACGGTCATGGCACACAGGGTCTAATATGAGATTAATGTTTTGACCAAAACAATTGTAATTTTTTGCAAGAATTAAACAAAACAGAGAGCTAAATTTGATGTAATGTATTTTAACTGGATCAGAAATGCAATGATTTGTGTTCATCATCTTCAAAGTTAAATTAAGTTGTTTTAGAACAAAGTGAAGGAACCCAGTGTTTGAACTAATAACATCCCAAAAGGGCAAAGTTTACAACCTACTTTAACTGTAATTACCAAGTACGATGTGATTCTGACTCATGTGATACAGAACATTTAACTGTAAATCATAATTACATATAAATCCAGAAAGTTGCAACATTTTGAGAAATTAGATAAAACTTTTAAATTAACTGAAACACCCACACAATGTTCAGTGTTTCAGTAAATACCATGAATAAAGTCAGTTTTCTCAAAGTCGGCCTCTGTTTTTGACTGGTTTTCAGACAGAAAAAAGTCTGTGTGTGGTTTTTCTTGGAGTGTTTATTTGCATCCTGCTTGGTGCCTGAGAAAACTTTGAAGCCAAGCTTATGGAAGAGGATAATAATGTCTTATTGAAATAGCTGACCGGTAATGCTACCCACAGGGTTCTGGCTTGGCAGTACAAGTTGGAATGTGCATAGTCTAAGGGGTGCAAAACCATCTGCTCCAATGTTACATACAGTTCCCAGTTAGCATCAAATTTATATTAATTTCAACATATTTTCTTTTTTTTGGCCCTCAGAATTATACATTCCATGTTTTGCCTCACAGTAAAATAGAAAAACTGACAAATTACTTTCTTTTCCATAAAATGTCAAAAATATTGTTACCCCAAAATACAGAACATGCTGAAAAAGGGTAAAGAAAGATTAGAAGTGAAAATAACTTGAAATGGAGAGTTTATTCACAATTTATACACTTTTGTCATATCCACATAAAAAACAAGCATCTTCCTGGATCCATCATCCAACTGCTCAGCATCACATTTCAAACCAGCCACCCATTCATCTGATCAACACAAAGCTATCATATATACCTAATTTAAGCACTTAAGTTGTGAATTTGTCCCCATAAATGCATTACCATACTCCAGCAAGGAGTAAAACTGTGATAGTCAACATGAGCACAGCGATCATCTAAAAATGTCCACCTTGAGGAAAACTATGTTTGTAAATGAAGCAAGCAAAAAAAGAGAGCACTGGGAGGAAACAGAGTTCACATTATGGAAAAGCACAGCTGGGACATTTTAATATGGTAAACAGTATTTCCTTTGGAGAAATAAAATTAATAAAAATAGTGTGTAAAGTCATTGTAGCACAGCAAAACTTGTAAACTGTTGGTAAATATTTTCAGTACTTTGACTGCAAATTACAGTTATTAGCTTTATAGAAGTCAGATGTGCACAAAAATCTACAAAAGTGGGTTAATTTTTAATCCTTGTCATGGTAATCTAATTAAAAGTTGTTAAATGTTAGTATTCTCTTTAGCGACGTCTTAACTGACACATTGTTTATTTTTTTATTCAAGCCCATGGACTTTGTCTTTTAAAAACAATTGCAAACTTGGATCTAAAATGGATTTGTTGGAGTATAAAACAAATGTAATATAACAATTATGGATAAAGTATTAAATTTAGACCACCTTTTCCTATTACAGTTAAAATTTTTTTTTTTTTGATTCACATAAAAACTGACTTTTGTTAACCTTTATATATGGATATTGCATAATCTACTACCTGGTAAATGTTTATAGTTATTGTGCATTTACAGTGATGAAAAAAATCCAGATTTTGGTTGCTAAGGCAGGTATTGCTTTTTTCACAGTCCACATAAACCAGATCTGTGTAAACCATGAAAAATCCTTCTTTTCAACAATCTGATTGATGGTGCTCATTCGTCCCATAAATGGATTGTCTAAGCTCTCACTGGAGAAAGCATCTGTATAGAAATATGACATATAGGATATGTTGATTGGCCTCCCTGATGTAACAATATCAGCATATTTCCCACTCAGCCTCTACATAAAGCAATGATTATTGAATGAACACATTCAAAAGTTCTATGTATTCAGAAATATTGTTTAACAAAAAAGCAGGCAAAGGGCAAAAAGCGTGCAAGAGAAAGACAATTTAAAAATATGGGATTTGGCTTGAGAGTTAACATTCCACTTTAAAATTATGAGTACCATAAAGCAGGAAAGACCTGAAAATGAACACATGTGGTACGTAGAGGAAATAGAAGTTGATGTTATTTTTACTATTATTCTCCAACTGTACTGTATTATTTAAATGGATAGTTCAACCAAAACACATCGGTTATGCATTTGGTACAAATTTGTCATTTGGTGTTACAGTGTGGTTGTGATGGGGATTTTTTTTTTTTTTTTTACCATAACAAAGGAAAATGACTGGTCATGTGTCCCTGGCTTCAAGAATTTGTGTTTTTTTCTAAACCCACTATTCAAAATAATTCTGAAATTTGGTGTTTAAAACTCCAAGTAGAAGAATCACTTTAGAACAATTTACCACTCTGACTTACAAATAAATGGCAAATGTTAACACCTGACACAAGTTTAAATGGTACAGAAAGGGCATTTCCTAAATTTTTTAAATTTAACAAAGTGATATGGGCTTTTTTAACTGCAACGTCATGGTAAAACATCTCAAAGGAAGAGTCCTCTTCAGTGTTTCTTGCATACAGATGGGTCATGTTGCGCTTTTGCCATTTCATACTTTTCCAGTTTTGCCATTTTCACTGAATAGTTGTTGCATACCAACAATAGCAACATCTGTTGTTATTATATAACATTTGTCACTGGATGTTGCATACCAAAATTCAGTCAGGGGACATTTTGTACCCAATTTGACCATTGACTTGATGTTATTTTTGGTGTTTTGCTTCTACTGTAAAAACATCTTTTTTGTCATGGGACTGCAATGAGACCGGTCCAAGCAGATATGAGTCAAAACCAATAAAAAAAGGTGCAATATAATTTTTTTAAGAAATAAAATTGTATTTTATTTATTAAACTATTCCTGAGATTTGATCAAGAAGATACAAGTTGTGTGTTTTACAGGTAAGAAATGGAAGAATTTGGGGACAAAATGCCTACATTTGAATGAGGTTTTGAATTGTCAAAGAGGAAAATTGACCCATAGCCACCTAAAATCAACAAAACCAACATGTCTGGAAATATTGTAAACAACTTAAGAAAAAAAAATAGTCATGCTTCGTTTTCTTACAAATTCTCTCCACAAGTTGTTATGTTCACACAAGCCTTTTCTCAACTGGTAAAATATCACACACTTGTGTCTCAGTTAAAAAGGATGCATTTTTTCAACAAAACAATCAGATCTTTATGAAACCTGCCTTTTGACACTCACTTTGAAAGTGCAACACCCTTTTTAACTGAAGAAAATATAACTTTCTCCAGCTTCTCTTTTCTTGAGCACAAAGTTCATAAAAATGAGCAAACACAACAGTCAATGTTATGTCCTCTCAAGGGCTTTTTCAACTTGGTTTTGTGTCCAAACAAATGTAAACACAGACACAGCAGTCCTGGAAAATGTAGATGAAACCCGGCTCAGATTGATGCTGAGGGCTGATAAGGTTAGCGTCCTGCCGGCAGAAACCAAACTGGAGAATTTGATCTGCATCATTGAACAAGCACCTTCCTTGTTCTTCTTTTGAAGTGAAGAAACCAGCAATATGTTGAAGTTCATCAAGTGAGCTACAATAAATAGAAAAGAACATTTTGTTAACTGATAAATTGTGAATACGTTTTTGTAAATATACTGCCTGGCCAAAAACAAGTTGGTAACCAAATAAAAAAAGGTCACAATAAGCTTTTGCAATGCCACAAGATTTATTCATAACCAGAATTACATACATTTTTAACCCTGATCTTGGTTTGATGATGGAGGAGTGCTGCCAACTAATAATATAACTTGATCTTATTGTATTGCTCCAGAACTCAAACATTATGCTCCCTGGCAAACTGAAGCTTTTTCTCTAGTCGGCCTCACTGATTAGAGGTTTTCTAACTTCTGCACAGCTGTTCAGGCCCAAAGCCACAGTGCGAGTCCCCTTCACACTGTGTGTAGAAATGCTCTTACTTTTACTTACACTTAAGTTATTCTGTTGTTTTTCTTCTGTTTAATGTTAACAAATATTTAACTCCTATGTTTAAATTCCTAATCAGATCCCTAATCATAATCATTCAGGATTCTTAACAGACCACATTTCTTCCTGAAAACGATGGTTCCTTACTGTTCTTCAGGTTTATAAATATTCATTCGACATTTAACCTAATTCTGTAATTTCATCAGTTTTATTCTCTGCTTACTGCCAATAATTTGACCTTTCTTAAACAAACGGGATGTGTCTTTCCACATGATGTCTGAGAAATGAAAAACAACTCATTACAGTTGGAGATGCTAGCGTGTTGCTAGAGAAGTGGATCTCCAAATTGTCCATTTTTTAAACTAGTGTGTTAACACAAAGCCTGGGAACACAAAGCCCAATCAATTCACTTTCACCTTAATACATCAGAACGAAGTTTCAAAGAGAGGGAATTATCTTACTTGTAATCAATAGAAATGACCTCAGTCAGATGTTATCATCAAGACAAAAAGCTACTTTCCAAATGTAATGCTGCAAAATCTAAGACTAAATTAGATTTAATGACAGTGGCTCTGTGTAATCCTGTGTATTGATATGTCAGATGAAACTCATTCAATTATTAGAGCTGCACATTTAATCAAATACCTGCAACCTGAAACATGAAAAACACAATAAAACATTACCATGATGTTTAGTTCCAGTTGTCAAGGGCACTGCAAGGACAAAAAACAGAGAAAGATACTTTAGATATCACGACGCAAGAAAAATATTTCAAAACAGAAATATCCCTAAAATAAGTTAAGATTTTATTGCAGTTCCTTAGATTCTTAATAAATATTTGTAATGTAGTGCAGGCTCTGTGACTCTGAGACTGCAGAGATCTTCACAAAATCCAGAGTTGGTCGAATCTGCATTTCACCAAATAATCCCATCAAAGCTAATCGATTGGTGGCTCTTCTGAAAACATGTAAAAGGTCTATAAAGGTAGTTGCAATAATCTAAAAGAAAACAACAATGCTGTAGCATTTCTCAAATGTACTCAAATTAACCCTCTCCAGGCAGATGTTGCAGATTTGCAACAGCTAAATGCTACTTAGCTAGTCTTTGCAAGTAATTTGAGCCTGAGAGGACTAAAGGTCGGATTTTTAAAATTTTTTATTATTGTTATTGTGAGATGATGCTGCTGTAAGACATATTAGACTGAAAATATTTTTAAGGCGTTACACAAAGTGATTTCATTCAAGGTGGAAGGTGCTGTTAGGTGGAGATAACTACATATAAAAGGGTTTCACATCGCTCATGCACTAACTGAACACAACCACTCACAAGAGGCTAGTAGACACATCAGAGAATGTTTTCTAAACTGCAGGATATTATCCTAAATATAAATCAACATAAAATTGAAGGTTTCTTCTCTCTAAAACACTGAGAGTCATGAGCATCTACAGTAAATTTAGTCATTCTCACCATGATGGCATTTCAGCAAGCAGAAAAAGCACTAAAACAAGCTGTGAACAGGTGTTAAGAGTGTTACCACATTAGCAATATAAGATTTAAAACAGATGATCGCTGACTCAGCAGGACGGCTGTGAGGAGAGGTGTGAGGAAATCGGTGTTAGAGAGACAGAGTCGTCGTTTTGTGTTACCAGTACCTTTCTGGAGCCAAGCGAGAGCTGACTCTCACCAGTCGATGTGCCTCGGAGGAGCCGAGGCCCGGGGAAACCTGTTCATTGTGTCATATGTTGGGACGCTACCATCACAGGAACAAACACGCACACATGGAAAAACGTTACCAGACAGACTCAACATTTCACATTCACTTCCTTTTGATGGCAAGAGGAGAAGGGTGAGCACTTCATACAACAGAGAGCAAAACAGTCTCTGAGTAGCTTACTGTGCAAACAGAGTCATTTATTGTTGATCAACTAAACTATGCGAATTAACTTATGTAATACTCCTATTGATGCACGAGTTTCATTCCAAAAGCTTAATGCAACTCAAATAGAAAGATAAGGTTTAACAAAAAGTTGCATTAATCTTGCAAGTTCAAACTGGAAATGAAACTCATATTTTTTCAAACTGCAACAAGTCAGAGCAACCCCTCATTGAGATGTTTTACTCTCTGTGTTTATCTTGTTGGATTGTGCCAACTCATCTGCATCCAAATGCAACTTAAAAAGACATCTGGTTAGAGTCAGAAAAGAAAATCAAAAGTAGCATCATATCCAGGGACACACGAAAGCTTAACATGCTTGCCTCTCTCTGAACAAAATGATCAGGTGTACATTCATCGGATTTTGGCCGACACTAAACGAGAGGAAACAGGAGAAGGTTTCATTTCATTCCACAGGAATTTCCCAGCATCAGAAAGAAAGCAGTTGGTTAGTAATACGATAGATTCCCCCAAAACCACCAAGCAGAACATTTACAACATGACAGTGAAGTAGTGGTAGCAGACAGATTCATCAGCCTTCCAACATCAATGTTGGGAGGTGGAAGAGTCAGAATGATTATTGGAAACTGACACCCTCATTTCTCTTTGATGAGTTTAAATAAGGGTACAGCTTTCCTCAGAGTAAAGACTGTAATTTTTGATATATAGTAACAAAATGAGCTCCTTCTTTTTCTCTATTAAGATGTTTCAGCTCTTATTTTCTAATACTCACCTGTAGTTTACCTTTGCTTACTGTGTTAAGCAAATATTTTGACTAAATATAAATTGCAGTTACATTTCTTTAAGTTGTGATATTTAAAATATTGATTGTGCAAATGGCACTTTTAAAAGATTTATGTGTACTAGCTTTAGATACTCTCTAAGACAAACCTTTATTAGTATTTGTTTTCCAATAATCCCCAGTCTTCAAGTTGACTAACACAAATTGTTCTTTATTCTGCTCCATATTTCATCCCCAAAGAAAACAGCAGGGCTATGATCTGATGTTCATCAGCAAATCCCACATTTCACCCCAAATGTTAAACCACTGCTGAAATTCATTTTAAAGCACTTTTTATCATAGATCAAAAAACTGATTCTGGATTGTTTCTAATAAAAGCTACCACAACTTGCCAGTTTAAAGGTCTGCTATAATATCACACCTACTTATGCATGTGTGCATCTTGAAATGACTCCCTCTGAAAGCATGCACTGTGTTCAGCCATATTATATATAAAACCAACTTCCCAGGCATGCATCCACCTCCACCATGACATGCAGTCAGCAGGATAAATGGAAAATTTACCTTGTCATCATAGGATTAGGAATACCTTGTGAACTCTCACTATGATAACCATTATTACCAATTTCCATACTGAAAATAAAACATTGTGAAGAAAAATGGAATGAAAAATGAGAAATGCGACATGCTGAATAAAATGTTTTCTTTGTTTTCCTTTATATGTGGATGAATCTTTAAACAATATCAGGAGATGAATATGTTCTGAGTATAAACCTTAGTGTTTTATTTACACAATATATATATATATATATATATATATATATTTTTTTTTTACAAAAAACACTTTAATGATTGCAAGAGCCCTTCATGAAAGGTACTGTAAGGGGCACTTCTTAAACATAGCACATGACAAAAAGCCACATCGCCCACCCACATGAGCAAAAATGCAAACGAGCACCAAGAATTTAGTAAACAGCTTTCTATATACATTACTTAGAAAAAAAAGCACAGAGTGAGAGAAGTTAAAATGAAAAGGATGTTGGGGAAGAACATCTTACTTTTTCATGGGAATTGTCTCAACGCTATGGAGATACACAGAAAACAGGAACATAAAAATGTTATTGAGATTTTCAGTAAAAGAAATGCATCAAAAGTCCTTCTGTGCAATCCAGCACTGACTGCACAGAGGGAGATGCAGTTGATCAGCTGAGATATTACAATTACTACTACTGTAGATAAAGCAATGAGTTCACAGAGTCTGAACATGAAAAAAGGCCCATGAAGAAGAAATAAGAATTAACTAATTTATCAGTGTCTTTTCTTTGTAAAGTGCCAAGTGCTTGACAAAGAAGAATGAAGAAATAAAATAAAAAATATGGAAGATGGAAATAGTAGGAATGGTTATCACAAGGTAAAATGCCAGGTCCCAGAAACAGAGGAGCTTAAGGGAAGAGAAAAGGGAGCAGAAAATAAATTGAAATAGGAAAGTTCAGTAGTACAGAACAGTTTTAGAACTGTTTAAGAACCCATTTTAAGGCAAACCAGAAAAATAACCAATTAAATTCAGACACACAAAAGAAAAGCCTAAAAGATAGAAGGATGTCCTGCAACCATCAAATATTTAAAATATATGTGCACTAATTTAGATCTAATAGAGCCATAACAGAACTAAAATTGCAGCTTTATAGTAATAATAGATACAATAAAAACATGAGAGAAGAAAAATAAATGCAATAACTCACTCATCATAAACATCCTCTGTGTCCATCCTGCGGTAGTACTTGGCTAGTTTCACAGCTAGTATTACGCTTGGGAGCAAGAACAGTGTGCTGCAGCCCAAACCCATCCAGAAAGTGTTCTGTTGAAAAGATAATTTAAAGAATTATATTTCTCATAAATTTATATAAAGTTATTAAAGTTATAAAGTTATATAAAGTTATTATTGCCTTGTAAAGTATTTATACCTCCTAAGCTTTTCATGTTTATTTGTAAAGACAATAAAACATTTTATAAACCATGAATCATTTTCCTTCCACTTCAAAATTGTGCACCTCGTTGTAGTAATCACTTAAAATCACATTAAAATGCACTGAAGTTTATAGTTGTAATGTGGAAAAGTTAAAGGGGTGTGGCTACTTTTGAAATGCATCAGAACTGCTGCTTTTAATTTGGCTTTGACTTACAGACATAGAATTTCGATATTGACCTCATTCCCTTTGGGCGAGTGATAACACTGCTGCACAACTAGATTTGTTTCACTTGGCCCTTGGGGGGGTTAAAGCATTAAACCTAAACTTCTGCACTGAAACACAGAGATCTGCATAAAGTTTGATTAGGTGGAATCTATTTTCATTATTGCCATTGTTACCATAGAATCCACCAGGAAACTGCAGGTCATGATCTGCGCCGTGTCCAAGATGTTGCTGAAGGGCTTGCATGGTGCAACCTCCAAAGCCAACTACAAAGGATATAAACAGGAAATGTTATCACACCGCGGTACTTCCAGTAAACACAAAGTTTCTTAACTGTGGCACAACACATCCAGCTCTGACTGTTCCTGAACAACAACATTGAGACTGAAACAAAAAAAAGTTTTATTGACATATATGAGAATCAGAGCTAAAATATCTTATTTTTCACTTTGGTTTGAATTCCTTTGGCTTCACTGCAGCAGAAACCATCATGCCTCAAAGTAAATTCCTCAGATTTAAAGGAGCTGTAGCTTTTATATTTGTCCTCTCTATATTTACCCCAAAAACTGTTATGCAAGTTTTTTGTTTTCCACTGTATAATATTGAGCTTTTTTCATAACTCAGGCTGCAGAAAATCCTTTAACTAACCATGAACAAAATAATGCATAAAACATTACATTTACATAATATGAAAATGGTACATAAACACTTACTGATGTTTTGACCCATTCTATGTACTGATTGAAATAGCCAATAATGGTTGCTGAGTATTTTCTTGTTTCCTGTAGGAAATTAGAGAACAGCTGTTAGTTTAACACAATCACAAAACTGAGATTAAGCAAACAGATACATTTACCTGATTGATTAAAAGTGTTGCATTCTGGGAGATGAGGTGCTGAGCAGCTTCAATGGTCTCAAGAACATCTGTGACTTTGTTCTGTAAAGACAAACTTGTCAGTACCAATGTGACCGTAAATTTGATTTTTGGTAGCGGTTTTTACCGGGAGGTCAGAAGCTGTCCTCTCCAGGAATCTCATACTCTGGTTCAATGCACTCTGAGAAAAAAACAAAAAATAATATATTATTTTCAGAAGTTAAAGACCAACAGAAAACTGAGAGCAACACAAATACAATGAGTGTCATTAATTAAATTTTTGGCATGCTGGAGGATTTTGTTCCAAAATCAAATATCCACAATGCAAAGACATAATCACATACACAACATAAAACAAATAAGGACTGTCCCTTTATTTTGTCCAAAAAAACCCAAACATTTATTCTCTTCATGTGGATATTTTGCACTATTTTGGCACAAATACTTTTGATATAAACTACAAGTTTGTGAAAACAACAATAAAAAGTGTCTCTGCAACAAAAGAACATCTCATAGATGGGTTGTTTGTTTTAAGCTCCAGGTAATAACACAGTTAATGCATATCATATCATAGACTTGTGCTTACCCTTGCTCTAACATATTTCTTGATGGTGAACAGAGAAAAACAAAACAACAAAACATAAATAAATGTTGTGTTGAGAGCCAACAATGGTTGCATCTGTTTGTCCTAGATGATATCTGACAGAGTGAAAATAATATAAAGCTGAATATTTCATATTTAATGTGTTCTGACACAAGCCCGAGGGCAACAAGTGCTATTTTATTTTACAGAACAGCAGACAAAGCAACATTTTTTTATAATCAAACCTCTATACTGTAGACTTTTATCATTGAATAATTACTTAAAATTATTGGTTATAAAAGCAGAAACAATGAGTTTCTAAAGCAGATGGATGTAAAATCAGCACAAAATGTAAAGTGGGAATTTCTTTCTCAGGCAAGAAAGCTGCTATGAAACGACAGCAATGGGAAAAATACAAAATGGTGAAAAAGTGAAATGACCATTACAAACTAAGGCAACAAACATAAAATGCCAAAGTGCAAAGGTCAGTTTTACTAATTTCTGCAGCACCAATTAAATGCAAATATCATCTCAAGGTTATTTACAAGATACAAAGCAATTCATAAAAATAAATATATTATTAAATCAATCTAAAACAATTTAATTGTTTATGTCCAGTTCCAATACAACATCTACATGAGTCTACGGTATTTAGGTCTTCATTGTTTGGTGCAAGTGAGAGAATTACTTGTTTTCTTCTAATATTAACTGTATTTGTCATAAATTTATTCCATTACATATTGAAAGTGTATGTCATCATTTTTGTTTTGTTTTTATGTGTTTAGGGTGGATAACTGCAGATCCGGTTGAAACCAAGTTTTGCCAAAAGTATATGGGACACGCAGTGGGGATTACCATGGCCTGCTCCATTGGAGCGATCTGTTGTCTGTGGACCCGCTGCAGAGTGGCCACATGGCCCTTCAGAGCTGTCTGCAGAGGTCCCCTGGGCTGGAGAAGGAGACAAAACAAGTCGAGTTTTATTCCAAAAGAAGAGGAAGAAACAAAAGACTGCATTTGTGAGATTCCTGCTGCCCAGACATTTCTTAAACTTTGGGTCACGTAACAGAAAACAAAGCATGTTTTAGCTCATCATACATCAGGAAAGAATCAAATGGTTTATAAATGTAATCTTTTTCTTAAAAACACATTTTTTCCAGTTTATCAAACTGCCAACTTTTAAATAATTACATTTTGTTTTTGCATTTGAAAGTGCACAAAGATTTTGTTTTTGCCAACACAATCATTCTGCATGAAATAACACCAGTGTCTGTGTAGCAGCATCAGTTAAAAAAAAAATTATTTAAAAAAATCATTCTCCATCACAATTTGAGAAAACAGATGCATTAAAATAATCTCTTGTGCAGAGATGAAATAATAAGAAACTCCACAATGTGAATGTTGGTGCAACAGCTAATGAAGGCAGATCAGCTTCCTCACCATCAGGTCTGTCTGGGACTCCAGCTCTTTGGCGAATGACAGAACATCCACCACAGTGACTCCTTTATTCACCTTAAGCAGACAAAGAAGTCAGTAACACAAACACTGAGCTTGGATGGATGCACACACATTTATTAAATAGAAAGTAATCTCTTACACATGTAAGTATTGATAATGCAGGGAAGGATTTATAGTTTATACAGTGATTTTCTTCAGGCATATTTGATTAGAACAATTTCCCCCTGTCCCTTACATAATTAATGACTGCTATGAGCAGAAACTCTTAAAGTAAATTCTTGAATCCTGCATTTAATACGTTCAGACATAGTTGTTCCTAATTTGCCACCAACATGCAGGTCAAAGCTTTACAAAACATTCAACTTAAATTGCTCACAAATTTTGAAATAATTGCAGTTATTCTTCAAATCTATGTACAGAAAAAACATGGGATTGTAATTTATTGTGTTTTTCTTCAGCTAAGGCTTTTAGCTCACCTTAACCCAAACTGAATAAGACCAAATCTCTCGTTTCCTTGTACAAACTCAGAAATCGGAGGCTTCTGACTGAGAGAATGAAAGTTAAACTAAAGATTTCACACATCTGCTTGTAGATTCAGTCTGAAGGATAATTACGTTTTTGCTCTCAGTCTCAGGTCTTTAAAGTGAAGCTGATTGATTGATGAAAAGAGCAAATGTCAAGTTCTAGCCCACACCTTCACACCTTTGGCCTGGATTGGACCCTTATTGGATAACTTAGCTTTAGCAGTCCTTTGCAGAACTCTGCCTGAAGCTTGTTAACTGATTTAGGTGTTGATAAACCTAATAAGTCAATTATTAAATAATTTAAATCTATTTTTTCACAGACATGATTTCACAATTGCAACAATTTATACATCAAAACGCAAAAATAAAAACTATTCAAAACCATCCACTGAAAACATGCTTTTCTCCTGTTCATGTGTTTCTACAATCACAGCATATGTCACCTCGTCAAGGTAGTCAGCATAGTTGATCTCTGATAGGCCAGCTTCAGAGAAATCTAGGAGGTTCTGCTTCCCCTCTGCTTCTAAAAGGATTATCGCTCTCAGATCAATCTGAAAGTTCTCCAGCTGACGCACCACATCCTTAGTGAACTGTAAACAGAAGTTTGGATGAGAATATAAACCCTGAACAACTCAACTTTCACATTTACAGGTCAAAATCTTCTTTCTAAACAGGGCAGATGTCTGTAACAATGTGGCAGCATGCTATGCTACATGCTGTCTACAAGCCTTCCAGAGCCAGTGACAGGCCCAGGAAGGGTTGAAGTGGTAAAATGATTACAGCAAAATATTAGGAAAGCCTACAGGACAATTAGTTTCCATCTACCAGAGAACTATGACTTTAGAGAACATTTATTTTCCAGCAACACAACGACCTGAAGCACTAAGCTAAAGCTACACAGAAATGGTTCAAAGACAACCAGGTGAATGTTGTAGAGTGGCCTAGTGAAAGTCCACACCAAATATATATACTTTGGTATTTACTTGAGAATCTCTTGCTTTCCATTTGTGCTATAAAAAAGAATCTGTCCCTGTTTGCACCAAGACTAAGTGGATTATAGGAGAAACTACAAAAGACTTTATTAGGTCTTCTTTTATTTTGAGGTCTTCTGTAAACCACAGTCATCATTCTCAGACATGTCTTTGTAGGAAAAAATTTGAAAAAGAATGCCTTGACCAAAAAATGCCTGCTTTGCCAGCCAAGAAAGATGTTTTTTGCGCAACTATAAAGAGAACAAAAAAACACATTGGGACAGTAAACCAGTTTCTAGGATAACTGTATGGGCACGTCAAAAGTTTTGGATTTTCCAGAAAAGTAAAAATGTTAGCCATATGTTTTTACTGGGTGTTTGTTTTCTTCAGTGGGCTAACATGAATGTTGTTTTAGAGTTCAATCAAAAATGAAGAGACTATTCACCAAATAGCAACACTATATTCAAGTTTAGAAAGAAGGAAGATGATGGTATTATCTTAACTTTTTATTAAGGCGTTACTCTCCACATCAAAAACACCGTTTATGATAGACAACATAAAATGATGAGAAGTTTAAATTGTTTCATATAAGACTATTGCATTTTATTAATCAAATATGACTATATTATTGATATCCATAGAAATGTCAATGTTCATGATTTGATTTGATAATGTGGACAAAAAGTCTGATTGGGTAATAACGACACTGGTTTTCCCAAATAGCCATATATATATATATATATATATATATATATATATATATATATATATATATATATATATATATATATATATATATATATATATATATAAAAAAATTCCCTTCTCACCCACCGCGGGTGGTTCTTATCCTCTGAGCTCGGGTCCTCTACCAGAGGCCTGGGAGCTTGAGGGTCCTGCGCAGTATCTTGGCTGTGCCAAGGACTGCACATTTCTGGACTGAGATGTCTGATGTTGTTCCTGGGATCTGTTGTAGCCACTGCTCCAGTTTGGGGGTTACTGCCCCGAGGGCCCCGATGACCACAGGCACCACTGTGGTCTTCACCTTCCAGGCCCTCTCCAGTTCTTCCCTGAGGCCCTGGTATTTCTCTAGTTTCTCGTGCTCCTTTTTCCTGATGTTGCAATCACTTGGTATTGCTACATCTACCACAACGGCTTTCCTCTGATGTTTATCCACTACGACAATGTCTGGTTGGTTCGCCATTACCATTTTGTCTGTCTGGATCTGGAAGTCCCACAGGATCTTAGCTCTGGTGTTCTCCACCACCTTTGGGGGTGTTTCCCACTTTGATCTCGGGGTTTCCAGTCCATATTCTGCACAGATGTTCTGTACACAATGCCTGCCACTTGGTTATGTCGCTCCATGTACGCTTTCCCTGCCAGTATCTTGCACCCTGCTGTGATGTGCTGGACTGTCTCAGGGGCCTCCTTGCACAACCTACACCTTGGGTCTTGTCTGGTGTGGTAGATCTGGGCCTCTATTGCTCTGGTGTTTAGGGCCTGTTCCTGGGCGGCCAGGATGAGGGCCTCTGTGCTGTCCTTGAGTCCAGCTTTTTCCAGCCATTGGTAGGATTTACTTATATCAGCCACTTGGGTTATTTGCTGGTGGTACATCCCATGTAGGGGTTTGTCCTCCCATGATGGTATCTCTGGCACCTCAACCTCCGTTCCCTGTTGTCTGAGACATTCACTGAGCACATTGTCTGTTGAGGCTTTGTCCCTGATGTATTTATGGATCTTAGTTGTTTCGTCCTGGACAGTGGTTCTCACACTCACTAGTCCTCTGCCTCCTTCCTTGCGGCTCGTGTACAGTCTCAGGGTGCTGGATTTGGGATGGAACCCTCCATGCATTGTTAGTAGCTTTCTGGTCTTAATATCTGTGGCTTTTATCTCCTCCTTTGGCCAGCTAATTATTCCAGCAGGGTATCTGATTACTGGCAAGGCATAGCTGTTTATCGCACGGATTTTGTTCTTGCCATTGAGCTGGCTTCTCAGGACTTGCCTTATTCGTTGGAGGTATTAGCTGTGGCTCCTTTCCTTGTGACCTCATCGAGGTTGCCATTTGCTTGTGGTATACCTAGGTACTTGTAACTGTCCTCTATGTCTGCTATTGTTCCTTCTGGGAGTGAGACCCCTTCTGTGTGGATGACCTTCCCCCTCTTTGTGACCAGCCGACCACATTTCTCTAGTCCGAATGACATCCCAAGTCAGTGCTGTAGATCCTGGTGGTGTGGATCAGTGAGTCGATGTCTCGCTCACACTTGGCGTACAGCTTGATGTCATCCATGTAGAGTAGGTGACTGATATTGGCCCCATTTTTGAGTCTGTATCCGTAGCCAGTCTTGTTGATAACTTGGCTGAGGGGGTTCAGGCCTATGCAGAACAGTAGCGGGGACAGAGCATCTCCTTGGTATATGCCACATTTGATGGACACTTGTGCAAGTGGTTTGCAGTTGGCTTCAAGGGTGGTTTTCCACAGCCTCATCGAGTTTGCAATGAAGGCTCTCAGAGTCCTGTTGATGTTATACATCTCTAAGCATTCAATGATCCAAGTATGCGGCATTGAGTCATAGGCTTTCTTGTAATCAATCCAAGCCATGCACAGGTTCGTGTGTCGGGTTTTGCAGTCTCGGGCAACTGTGCGGTCTACGAGGAGTTGGTGTTTGGCTCCTCTGCTATTACACTGATACCCTTCTGTGCCGTGCTGTGTTTATCCATGTGTTTGCTTATCTTGGCCGCTATGATGCCTGACATGAGCTTCCAGGTTGTGGAGAGGCAGGTTATTGGTCGGTAGTTGGGTGGGACTGGACCCTTTGATGGATCCTTCTGGATTAGGATTGTCCGCCCTTCAGTTAACCATTCAGGGTGAGTCCCACTTTGTAGCAGCTGGTTCATTTGGGCTGCCATTCGCTCATGGAGAGCAGTGAGTTTCTTTAGCCAGTAGGCATGGATCATGTCAGGCCCTGGTGCTGTCCAGTTTTTCATACCTGAGACTCTTTCTTGGACATCTGTCACAGTGATGGTTACCGGGGCTTGCTCAGGGAGGTTGCTGTGGTCCTCTCGTAGAGAGATCAGCCACTGTGCATTGCTGTTGTGGGACGCCTCCCTTTCCCATATGCCTTTCCAGTATTGTTCCGTCTCCAGCCTTGGTGGGTCTGCTCTGTTGTTATTGTTACCCTGCCATTGAGAGTACACCTTAGCTGGTTGAGTGGAGAAGAGCCGGTTAATCCTTCTGGATTCATTCTCCCTTGTGTATCTCTTTAGGCGGCTGGACAAGGCTTGGAGCCTCTGTTTGGCAGTCTCGAGTGCTTCAGGTATGGGCATCTGCCTGTACTTTCTGGGTACTGGTCTTTTCATTGCACCTTGTGGAGCTCTGACAGTTGGCTCACTTCCCTTGTTACCTTGATTTTAGCCTCTAACCGTCTTTTCCATGGTGGGTATTGGGTCTCATGGTTGCTCTTATAGCCAAGTATCTCAAGGATCACTGATGCTGAGTGTAGATCAGCTCATTGGTTTCTGTTATGGTGTTGGTAGGGATCGTCTCAATGCTGCATTCACATTCTCAATGAGACTTTCAGATGGTACTTCACTCAGCCGTTGTAATTGGCGCCGGGGAGGCCTGGTTGTCATTCGGGTCATGATTCTCTCTCTCAGGTCAGCAGCTGTCTCGTTCAGCTCTGTTTCGCTCATTGGGGCCGTGTATCCCTCACTGGGTGGGGACTTGTAGTTAAGTCCCCACAGTCCTGACATCCGGGTTCCTCCCTTTTGCCGTAGCATTTGTGTTGTATCTCGTCAATCTCAAGTTGTGATAGCAGTTGCCGTTTGCGGATGTTGGAACACTGAGCTACTAGTTGTTTAGCGCTTAGTGTTGACTGGGGATGTCGAAGTAACCATTCCTTCCCCAGTCTTTGCATGTAACCCCTCTGACTAGGGTTACTTGAGTAGTAGCATTCCAACAGATCCACATTTTCATCTCTCGCCCATTTCCGTCTTGTTCCAGTAGCCCATTTGTCATCAAGGTGCTCTGGTTCCCCAACACCTGACGCAGACCTTGTTTGGCCGGGCGACGTCTGAGCCGGCATGTTATGCAACTTAGTATCTCTCATGGTATGAGGTAGGCAGTAGCTTGAAGGGTCTTGCCTAAGGACCCAGACTGGATTCGAACCCTGCCCTCTCGGGTGATATACTGATGCCTTATGTATTGAGCTATCCAGTCATATATATATATATATATATATATATATATATATATATATATATATATATAAAGTCTTATATATATATATATAAAAAATTCCCTTCTCACCCACCGCGGGTGGTTCTTATCCTCTGAGCTCGGGTCCTCTACCAGAGGCCTGGGAGCTTGAGGGTTCTGCGCAGTATCTTGGCTGTGCCAAGGACTGCACATTTCTGGACTGAGATGTCTGATGTTGTTCCTGGGATCTGTTGTAGCCACTGCTCCAGTTTGGGGGTTACTGCCCCGAGGGCCCCGATGACCACAGGCACCACTGTGGTCTTCACCTTCCAGGCCCTCTCCAGTTCTTCCCTGAGGCCCTGGTATTTCTCCAGTTTCTCGTGCTCCTTTTTCCTGATGTTGCAATCACTTGGTATTGCTACATCAACCACAACGGCTTTCCTCTGATGTTTATCCACTACGACAATGTCTGGTTGGTTCGCCATTACCATTTTGTCTGTCTGGATCTGGAAGTCCCACAGGATCTTAGCTCTGGCGTTCTCCACCACCTTGGGGGTGTTTCCCACTTTGATCTTGGGGTTTCCAGTCCATATTCTGCACAGATGTTTCTGTACACTATGCCTGCCACTTGGTTATGTCGCTCCATGTACGCTTTCCCTGCCAGTATCTTGCACCCTGCTGTGATGTGCTGGATTGTCTCAGGGGCCTCCTTGCACAACCTACACCTTGGGTCTTGTCTGGTGTGGTAGATCTGGGCCTCTATTGCTCTGGTGTTTAGGGCCTGTTCCGGGCGGCCAGATGAGGGCCTCTGTGCTGTCCTTGAGTCCAGCTTTTTCCAGCCATTGGTAGGATTTACTGATATCAGCCACTTGGGTTATTTGCTGGTGGTACATCCCATGTAGGGCTTGTCCTCCCATGATGGTATCTCTGGCACCTCAACCTCCGTTCCCTGTTGTCTGAGACATTCACTGAGCACATTGTCTGTTGAGGCTTTGTCCCTGATGTATTTATGGATCTTAGTTGTTTCGTCCTGGACAGTGGTTCTCACACTCACTAGTCCTCTGCTCCTCCTTCCTTGCGGCTCGTGTACAGTCTCAGGGTGCTGGATTTGGGATGGAACCCTCCATGCATTGTTAGTAGCTTTCTGGTCTTAATATCTGTGGCTTTATCTCCTCCTTTGGCCAGCTAATTATTCCAGCAGGGTATCTGATTACTGGCAAGGCATAGCTGTTTATCGCACGGATTTTGTTCTTGCCATTGAGCTGGCTTCTCAGGACTTGCCTTATTCGTTGGAGGTATTTAGCTGTGGCTCCTTTCCTTGTGACCTCATCGAGGTTGCCATTTGCTTGTGGTATACCTAGGTAGTAACTGTCCTCTATGTCTGCTATTGTTCCTTCTGGGAGTGAGACCCCTTCTGTGTGGATGACCTTCCCCCTCTTTGTGACCAGCCGACCACATTTCTCTAGTCCGAATGACATCCCAATGTCAGTGCTGTAGATCCTGGTGGTGTGGATCAGTGAGTCGATGTCTCGCTCACACTTGGCGTACAGCTTGATGTCATCCATGTAGAGTAGGTGACTGATATTGGCCCCATTTTTGAGTCTGTATCCGTAGCCAGTCTTGTTGATAATTTGGCTGAGGGGGTTCAGGCCTATGCAGAACAGTAGCGGGGACAGAGCATCTCCTTGGTATATGCCACATTTGATGGACACTTGTGCAAGTGGTTTGCAGTTGGCTTCAAGGGTGGTTTTCCACAGCTTCATTGAGTTGCAATGAAGGCTCTCAGAGTCCTGTTGATGTTATACATCTCTAAGCATTCAATGATCCAAGTATGCGGCATTGAGTCATAGGCTTTCTTGTAATCAATCCAAGCCATGCACAGGTTGGTGTGGTCGGGTTTGCAGTCCGGCAACTGTGCGGTCTACGAGGAGTGGTGTTTGGCTCCTTGCGATTACCCTTCTGTCCGTGCTCATGTGTTTATCCATGTGTTTGCTTATCTTGGCCGCTATGATGCCTGACATGAGCTTCCAGGTTGTGGAGAGGCAGGTTATTGGTCGGTAGTTGGGTGGGACTGGACCTTTTGATGGATCCTTCTGGATTAGGATTGTCCGCCCTTCAGTTAACCATTCAGGGTGAGTCCCACTTTGTAGCAGCTGGTTCATTTGGGCTGCCATTCGCTCATGGAGAGCAGTGAGTTTCTTTAGCCAGTAGGCATGGATCATGTCAGGCCCTGGTGCTGTCCAGTTTTTCATACCTGAGACTCTTTCTTGAACATCTGTCACAGTGATGGTTACCGGGGCTTGCTCAGGGAGGTTGCTGTGGTCCTCTCGTAGAGAGATCAGCCACTGTGCATTGCTGTTGTGGGACGCCTCCCTTTCCCATATGCCTTTCCAGTATTGTTCCGTCTCCAGCCTTGGTGGGTCTGCTCTGTTGTTATTGTTACCCTGCCATTGAGAGTACACCTTAGCTGGTTGAGTGGAGAAGAGCCGGTTAATCCTTCTGGATTCATTCTCCCTTGTGTATCTCTTTAGGCGGCTGGACAAGGCTTGGAGCCTCTGTTTGGCAGTCTCGAGTGCTTCAGGTATGGGCATCTGCCTGTACTTTCTGGGTACTGATCTTTTCATTGTACCCTTGTGGAGCTCTGACAGTTGGCTCACTTCCCTCCTTGTTACCTTGATTTTAGCCTCTAACCGTCTTTTCCATGGTGGGTATTGGGTCTCATGGTTGCTCTTATAGCCAAGTATCTCAAGGATCACTGATGCTGAGTTGTAGATCAGCTCATTGGTTTCTGTTATGGTGTTGGTAGGGATCGTTCTCAATGCTGCATTCACATTCTCAATGAGACTTTCTGATGGTACTTCACTCAGCCGTTGTAATTGGTGCCGGGGAGGCCTGGTTGTCATTCGGGTCATGATTCTCTCTCTCAGGTCAGCAGCTGTCTCGTTCAGCTCTGTTTCGCTCATTGGGGCCGTGTATCCCCTCACTGGGTGGGGACTTGTAGTTAAGTCCCCACAGTCCTGACATCCGGGTTCCTCCCTTTTGCCGTAGCATTTGTGTTGTATCTCGTCAATCTCAAGTTGTGATAGCAGTTGCCGTTTGCGGATGTTGGAACACTGAGCTACTAGTTGTTTAGCGCTTAGTGTTGACTGGGGATGTCGAAGTAACCATTCCTTCCCCAGTCTTTGCATGTAACCTCTCTCACTAGGGTTACTTGAGTAGTAGCATTCCAACAGATCCACATTTTCATCTCTCGCCCATTTCCGTCTTGTTCCAGTAGCCCATTTGTCATCAAGGTGCTCTGGTTCCCCAACACCTGACGCAGACCTTGTTTGGCCGGGCGACGTCTGAGCCGGCATGTTATGCAACTTAGTATCTCTCATGGTATGAGGTAGGCAGTAGCTTGAAGGGTCTTGCCTAAGGACCCAGACTGGATTCGAACCCTGCCCTCTCGGGTGATATACTGATGCCTTATGTATTGAGCTATCCAGTCAGCTATGAGCTATCCAGTCAGCTATATATATATATATATATATATATATATATATATATATATATATATATATATATATATATATATATATATATATATATATATATATATATATATATATATATGGGAAGCAATGTTATATACACTTGGAATTGCTATTGATTAATATTATTAGATGGACAAATTATTAGATTAGATTAATATTATTAGATGGACAAATGTTAATACTTCTATGTTAATATTTAGCAATTTGCAGCAGTTTTGTATTCTTAAAATATTTTTTGCAATCAAATTGACTAAAGGGATCATCAGTATGACAGCTGAAAGAAGCTCATTCATGAAACTATGTTATCATGTTTATAACACGTTTGAAGCTCTTCCCCAGTTCAATAAAAGTTTTATAAGTTCTGTAACTGCGTTTATCGGATTTATTTACTTTCTGTACATGACTTCCACCAACATGTACTATAGAGTCTATGTTATGCCCGTGCAGATTACTAACCACTGAGGTGTTCAGGAACGATGAGATGTTGAAGACTTTATCCAGACGCAGGGCAGAGTAGATGCCTTTGTTCTGTTTGCATGTACTGCAAATGTCAAACATATGGGCAATAAAACAAAGGGGAGAGAGAGAAAAATCACTTTTATACCAGTCTGAGAAAAAATGTTTGCTGCCACCATGTGTAATTGATTGGAATTACAGAGCTGGTGTGTTTCAAAATTGGAAGCAGGATCATTTACTCAAAACGCTAAAGTCTTATAAATTCTAACATTTAAGCAACCAACTAGACTCGGTCAGAGGAGTTTTCTTATTAAAGTTAAATCCATGTCTGTTTGTAAATGTAATGACTTTGGGTCTGCCATCGCAGCATACTTATGAATCCCCATCAAGCAGGAGGATGATGAAAGCTTATGTAATCATACAGAAGTAAGCTGCAGAAAAGCAGTACTAAAGTATAAAAAAATGACACTAATTAGCTACGGCAAGTTAACTGCAGCTCCTTTCATTTGCATCCCCCCTTCCATGTGGATGAAATATTCAACTGGAGACTCGATGCCACAAGCAATGAATGTGCCACAGCAGAAAGTTTTCGCAAAATATGAGTAACCTCATTAGTTGATAACTCAACATCCAACAGAAACTGTTTTTAAAAGTTTAAACTGCACTCATCAATGCTTTCTAAGATTTTAAATATAAAAAGATAGATACAAAGGACACTGAATGCATTGCTATGGTTAGAATTACCCTGCATTTCTTTATAATTTCAAAACCTTGTTCCACTCTTCAGGTGTGTTTAATGCAATGTTGTTTATGTATTGCTTAAAAAGGTTTTCTAATTGTCTGTATAAAAGACATGTGTTTACCTCAACTGAAAGCATTTCACATTTGAATACCTGCTGAAAACCTGAATATGTTTATTTGAAACTAAATTTTAAATAAATTTGGGATCACAACAGAACTTTGCAAATTGTTAATATATAATATAATATATCTGAGTTTTCCTTGCCTGTACAAGCTTTCCGATGTCAGCTCCAATTCAGAGTCATTGTACATGTAGCCTGGAATGAAATTCTTCCACTCTGGCTTGATCAAGTATGGGGTGTCAACGACCTGGTGAAAAAAAGTCAGAAGAAATGTCAAAGGTCTCTCATACATTTATCTTAATATGTGTTCTTTACATTCAAGCGATAAGAACTCTGTAGATGTATAGTTGGTGGAATTGTAGCTAACATGGACTGGACTATCGCATCTCATCATTACAACCCCATTCAGGCCTAACATTATGACCAGTGAGTACTAAAGTAAAATAAAGTGATTACCATCTAATGATAACTTGTCATTGGTGAAAGCAGCAAAAAACAACAAACTCAAGGAATTGTTTGAGGAGGACAACAAATTTGAAGCATTTCACCCCAGATCTCTATACAATCTATGGTGAAAGTACATTCTCTTACACATTTATAAAACGTTACATTTTCTAGTTAATGAAAACCCATAAATTGGAAAAAGAATGTTCCAAAACATTCCTTCTAATCCAAAGAGAGGTTAAAGTCAAGTGTTAAGGAATAATTGTTGTCTGCTTTCTACACTTGCCTTCAAGAGTTCTTTGGTGTGAAATGGCTCACAAAGAAGTTTCTCCATGTTTCCTCCAACCAGAAAGATGGTGGTCAGCACTCCCATAAGCATCCAGGAGAAAATGAAGCTAAATCCAACACCACTGTGGACAAAAGCAAATTCACTCTCAGGTGGGAATTTTTGATTTACTTCATGTTCATAATGTTAACTGTGAATATTTCTATTTTATAATTGTTATCGAGAATCTCCAATGTTTTCTCTCCTACTTAATTTGAACGAAGATCAAATTAATTGAAAATCTTGAGAAAAAAATAGCTGCTTGGAACTAAAAGACGAGACTGGTTAAGGTATAAAACCTGAGTTTCAGTAGGACATGTTAGACTTACGCCATCAGCAGTGTTCCTCCCGTATTGGAGATACATCCTCGTGTCGTGGGAGAGGCATGCTTGTCGTATCCCAGGGTGCCGCACAGAAGGCCCAGATAGTTAAAGGCCAAAACCAGAACCACCATGCAGCACAGAGCGATGCAGCCGATCCATCTGCGAACATCAATCAGAAACTAAACAACATGTAGAGCCAACATATGTATTCTATATATCTTGAATACATTTGAGTTTCCCTCTGCTAGTGGCTCGTAGGTGCAGAAACATAATAATTATATTTTATTTGTACAAAATAATGATACATTTCTAACATGAAATAGGACATAACCTTTCTTGCACTGCAAAACATTTTTCTGTTCTTTATGCAAAGAAAATCGTTCACTTGTCCGGATATCATTTTACCTGTAGAAGTCCAGTTTATCAATTTCAGGATAGTAGTCTTCGATTTTGGCGTGTGCGTGGCTGATGAAGATGGTGAAGTTAGACAAACAGGTCTGCACAGGGAAAGCTTTGGAGAAGCTGCTGATGTTGTTGCCAATACTGTCCAGTAAATTCTGGACACCTAAATCAAAGACCAGTCATTAGAAAGAATGCTATTACTAAAGCAACAAAAGAACTGACTAATTCTGAATTAATCATGTGTGTCATAACTGATCTGATCTTTAGATGAAGATTAAATGAAACAGCAGGCATGGCTGTAAAGATATGATTGTCATATGTTCACTTTTTGCATCTGTCTCATTATGCACACTTACAAAACAAATAAAAATCCAAAACTATTACATTAATTTACACAATTAGAACATAATGTGCACAGCAGAAGTTGTTTGTGCTTTTACACATACTATTGACAACGCTTCTTGTCTGTTCAATCACAATGTGCGGAGTGTCATTCAAAGAGGAAAACCCCTGAGAAAAAGAGAAGACATCAGGCTTTTAAAATTCATAATGGCATAAAAACTAAGTTTTTTAAAAAGACATGTTAGTGATACTGGTTAAAATCAATTTAAAAACATGTGGAGGAAAATCTTTTAATTTATTCACACTCACCCTGTGGACGACAGAGCTGAGATCTGTTTTCACTACATTTTTCATCTTTTCCAGCTGAGGGCTCACATTAGGAAGCTAGAAATCAGTGAAAAAAATATCAATAAACATGAACACTGATGTGAAATGAAGATTACACTGTTCCCTTTTTCTCCTCGATTTCTCTTTCAATTTCCTGCAGAGCTGAAATTGATGAGTTGACTAATGATAAAATTTGAAGAAAATGTTGCTTCCTCTCCAACTAAATTTGTAATTCATCTGACAATCTAAGGCCAATGTGAAAGAGACTTTAGTAACTTTTATTAGACTGCAGCCACAGTCATTAGACTTTGAAACAATATTTGAAATGTCAGACATTATGAAAGCTTGTTTGTGTTAAGTTCATTTGCAAAGTGTCTCTATAGTACTATATTTGACAGTAAAGCGAAGCCATTGAGATTACTGTTCACATCATATTATATTCTCAGATTGTGTAGTAGTTTCGTACCCGGGTGAAATTCGCACTGATTTGTAGCTGGGACAGGGACTGGCGGATGCTGCGGCAAAGCTGGGCCGTGGTGGCGTCCGATTCCTCGTCATGACACCCAGGGTCATCGAGGGTGCGGTTGATGCTGTCGCGGACTTGGCTCAGGTTGAAATGAAGTTTTCCAGCTCCTTCCTGTAAGACCACCAGAGACACACTGACGTTCTCCAGGGCCTCCTTGGTTTCCCTCATGGCTGAAAGGAACGAGAACAAAAAATGAGTTGAAGAAGAGGATTTGGTTGTTGTGATGGAAAAACCAGGCATGAAAGCTAAAATGTTTATTATGTCCCTTTGAAACATAATTATAGAAGTGTTCTTTACAGCCCTTTAATATAATAGTTTGTGGATGAAATCAAGTTTTAAATTTTATTAAGATTTTCAAAGGCTTACCACAAAATGACTAAGAGAGAGAGAAATAATTTATAAAACTCTTATAATTCTGTCCTGGTAAAATGCAGGATTGTATGCAAAAACACACTGAAATCATTAGCAGCACTTTCAGTTGTATGAATGACACTTTAGTTTTAACACCAGCATACATACATAAAAAAAACTGAATCTATAATATGTGCTTCTGTTTCACATTCAGACTAAATCACCAGGCCTGACTTCATTACAACACTTCTCACAAAACTGAAAACTCGTTTTTGTTTTTCCTGGAACAGCAATAATCTAAATAATAGTTTTTTTATTATTGATGATGTAGTTAATGAGGAGCTCGTAGTTCTGTAATTGAGAGTTTTGAGAGTCATTATTTGCTAAAAGTCTCATAATATCCTGCAGCAAACATTCAACATTAAACAGGATAAGAAATAAGAAGACACTGGCAAATGCTGGAACAGTGATGAAAAATGCAATAGGAGAAATGGCAACACTGACACAAAAACATAAATACTTTGTAAAAAGAGGGCTGGTTAATTATAATTATGCAGGAACTCAGACTGCTTTTTGGTCTTCTTCAGATGTGCCTTGAAAAGTATTCACATTTTTTTTTACATGACATCATCTCACAACCACAAAAGTGAATGCATTTTATTGGGAATTTATGTGACAGGCCAATGCAAAGCAGTACAAAATGGAGAAGAAAAGGAAAATAATTCATGGATTCATAAAGTGAAGTTGGGATTCTGACATGACTAAATGTGGAAAAGTTTAAAGGATTTGAATACTTTTAAAAAGCACAGCCTATTTTAGGTGACTAGTCATATTCTTTTTGTTGTTGCAGGTTAGTTAAAATAAAATTATGACTGGCTCAAACAAACATGTCACCATGAGGGAACACATTTGAGATATTCAGATGCAGGTTGATGTTGGTTTGGACTTTCAGTGAGATCCATTGACTTAAAACTGCACTCATCAACATTGTCAGTCACATAAATGAAACAAAAAGTTAATTCTCACTTTAAGTGAGAATGTTTACTTCCATTCTCACTTTCTTGTAAAAAGTGAGAAACAGCACCAAATAGGAAAAAGCAAATTCAAAATATTTCTCATTATAATGTTCTTCCGGTTTCCATTTTTTATTTTTATTTTTTAAAGACATTTGTTGTCAGATGTTGCATAGTGCAATTTTAATGTCATAATTGTTCTCTGTGAAGATGTGACTTGATGACAACAAATCATATCAATTTTATTTATAAGGATAATCAAATTTATCCTTAGTTAAATCCCAGGTGGGAGGTTTAAATTTTCAGGAAAGAAACCCAGGAGGATCAGATAGTAGGAGCAACAACAGTATCAAAAGTCACAACATTAGGGATAAAACGACTGGATCATCAGTAAGTCATGGAGTCGCTGAGTTACCTTTGATGGCTCTCTGGATTTTCACTTTGTGAAAAACATAAACAACAATAAAAAGAAGTAATAATGATTAAAAGTATAAGACTTGCTTATAAGACTAAAGTAAAAGTGTTTGCCTTAAAGAAACATCTACTCCGTAAGTTTAAATCATATAAGAACAATGACGTTTTGCAATATGCTGATAGTAGCAGGCTATTACATGAAAGTTAGTAAATGAAAGGAAGAAAAAAATGTGTTGCGGTACCTCCAGCCATATTAAGCACTTGGTTTAAAGCAGGATGGACCTCTTTATCCAACCGTACATGTATCCTTCCTCCGAGTAATGGACCTATGTCTGTAAAAAAAGAGCAGGACATCTATAAGGCAAATGTTTTCTATATTTATATGTAAAACAAGTTTAACATTGTTGTGCCTAGCTGCAAGGCTTTTTTTTTTTTTTTTGCAATATCTAACCATCAGGAAAGAACTGCCTGCAGAAGAAAACTTGAATACTCAAAGGAGCCTTCATTACAGTCACAGCTGGAGCTTTTAGACCCAGATATGTCGCTAATCAGTTGTAAAAACAAGTCGTGGATAAAGAGAAGTAAACAAGATGTATTACCAAGAAGAAAAGCTGAGTGAATCATTTATGCCCACTTAATTCACTATCAGAGGCAAGAAGAAGATCTACTTACTATCTAGGTCATAGTTGACTTTGTTCTTGACAGTGGCGTATTGGGATATTAGGTAATCAATTTGCTGTAAACAGGAAACACAAAGCAAACAGGCTTACATGGAAGCATAAAGAAACTAGTTCATTAGATTCTGAATAAAAAATTAGCTGAGTTTTATAAGACCCTATAAGCTGTGTATTCATCAGCAACATTTACAAAAAATGAGTACTTGAAATATACAGCCATAAAATAAAAGAATGACTTTCAGTTTTTAGATTCATCCATTTATTTTCTAACACCCCTGTCCCTAGTGGAGTCAGGAGGTGCTGGTCCCGATCTCCAGCTATCGTTCCGGGCAAGAGGTGGGATCATCCTGGACAAGTCGCCAGTCTGTCGCAGGGCAACCCAGAGGCAGACAGGGCAAACAACCACGCACGCACACACTCACACCTAGGAAGAATTTAGAGAAACCAATTAACCTCACAGTCATGTTTGTGAATTCACGCACGCACAGGGAGAACATGCAAACTCAGTGCAGAAAGACCCCGGGCTGGGAATCGAACCCGGGACCTTCTTGCTACCAACTGTGCCACTGTGCAGCCCAGTTTTCAGATTGAATCACTAAAATTAATTAACTTTCAAATGATCTTAGAATTAGAGGCCGCTGTTGATGCTGTGTTTTTATTTCGTCTCACCATAGGTGTGTCATTAGCAAAGGTGTGCAGGTCCCTCATGTTGCTGTTAACCAGACGGCGTATGTTCTTCACCTGAGAGCTCAGATTCTGGTTGGCTGAATACGCACAAAGTATTCCAATCCTGTAAACAATTGGCAGAAGCAAATATGATGATATTACTGTCTCAAATCCAGGCATTCCCAACTTAAAAGCAGCAGGTTCTGCAGAATGGGACGATGACATGCCAGCAGCAGTAGGGGTCAGTCTTTCCCACTTTTACTTTTACATTAAGGCACCTGTAGAACTAGGTAATATTATTATATAAATTCAATATAAATATCAACAAAAAAATCATGATTGTAGTTTGTTTACAAATGTTTAATCTCAGCTCCTCAGGATGTAAACAAATCTAAATTTAATGAAGAAACAAAAATACATGAAGCAGGTCATCAAAGGAAGTCTCTTGTATGCTTCAAACAAACCTGAGTAGCTCACAAGACTTAATTAGCTTGAGGAACATGAAGGGAGCTAGCCCATAATATCATAACTCATTTGCATCCTAGCTGAGAGCACCTCACCCGTACCCCTGCTACACTAAGTCAGTTCGGCGGTTCCTGTGAGGAAGGCTATGGCTCCAAGGGTGATCAGACTTAAGAAGAGATGGTTCTAAAGAAGTCAGAATTCATAAAGTGGGATTGTACTACACAGAGAACCTCTTTCATGGAAATGCCTCCGTGGAATAAGCAGCTTTATGAATGATGTAAGATGACTTGCTGAGAGGAATAACAAAGGGACTGACTCAGAGGCAACTGGGATGGTTTAGATCAATAGAAATGAATCGGGTTGTTGTGACTCATTGAATAAAAAAGCAGTGGAGATGTGAGTGTGTGTGTGTGTGTGTGTGGGTGTGTGTGTGTGTGTGTGTGTGTGTGTGTGTGTGTGTGTGTGTGTGTGTGTGTGTCTGTTGTTCAGCATAAGTACAAAAGCAGCTTGTACATATGTGATGCAGTGAAGATGGTGTGTGTAGTTTATCCTTATAGTGTTCTGAGCAGCAGCTGCATTAGTCACAGTCTTTATTCTGAATAAAATCTAATGTGACATTAAACTGAAGACATTTCCCACATTAAGGGCAGTAATGTCTGTTTAGACAGGGCATGATGAGATATACTATTTCCAATTTCTTCTGACTCTCCTACATGTGTACAAGTGCTTTTCTGCAGAACAGTAGCAAGAGAACTATGAAGTTATTGAATTTCATTTTTCTACTCTTCAAATTGAAACTTTACACAAAATTAGTAGTGCCAGGACATTAACACATTAATTTAAATTCTATTATTAAATACATTTTAAAACATTAAAAATTTAAAAGAAAATGCGTTTTTTTTCATATAAACATTCAGAATGTAACCTTTGTTTGCCTGTTTCTATGATAGCCACAAATCTGACAAACAGCTGACGACAAGGTTGCTTCTCTTGACTCAATATATGCTTCAAAAAACAATCTGATGAGATGCTGGGAAAGACTAGTTGTGCTAAAAGGAGTTAGCTTTTATCAGCAAAGCTATTCTAGCCTAAAATAAGATCTTAGTGAAAATACCTGCAACAAACAAAGAGCAAGAAGTGCATATACCAAACTGCATGTACCCAACTGTTTCTAACATACCTGACATCTGAGTAGGTTTGATAACTGTTTGCACCAATGTGATGGTAGAATAACCTAGATATTAGGATAAAAACAATAAATATTGCTGTTGTTGAGCTCACGCCTATTTATTCAACAGATTATAAACAAAAAGGGTTTTGAATTGAGAATGTTGCTTATTATATGATTTATGGTTTTTGATCAAAATGCAATCAATTGCAAAAAAGACCCTCCAATTAACTCGACTAACATTTTTAATTGAGTCCCACCACTAAAATTAACTTGATTTTTGACAAGTAGGGCTTCACAAAGTCCGTTACTGAATAACTCAAAACTTGTGAATTAGTCAGATGAGTAGAGTGAAACAGAGAAATGATAATTTACCAAAGAAAGATCAAAACTATCAACTTCAACCACAAACCTTTTGTTCAGCCTTCTCTCTCTTCAGTTTTTCCTTTCCCCGTTGAAAATATACAGTTTCATAAATTTTTATAAATTAAGTTTTTGCTAAATTCATGAAATCAAACTTTCTTGCTTGTCCATATTATGTATTGGGATTTTCTAAATGAACACATTACTCAATATACTGTACATGTTAACATCAGGCTTAATATTAAACTCATATTTCCCTTGTGTAGAATCTGAACTCGGTTCCCTCTGTCTCTCTTTCAGCCCACCTCCTTCTGCTTTTCTTTGTCTCTCACTCACTCTGTCTCCCTGGTGTCCAGCAAGGTCACTGGAATCTGGTGCTTAACAAAGAGTCTTTGAGCGAAAAGCAAAGCACTTAGAAAGAAGCTGTGGAGAGTCTCTTCTGCCACTCTACAATATATATATGTATGTTTTAATGTGATTTATTTTTATATTACACTAATAGGAAAAACATCAAAAGCTTTAAATGGATGAGTTCTACTTTCTCTAACCTAAAGTGTTAAAAGTTTCTCTTTGAAAACTTTGAAGAAAAAAGAACAATCTGTTTTGTGAAGGTTAAGATAAGTAAGGATGTTCTTATTCAAGAGCGTTCTTTCCTTTATGTATCTCAGATTTTCTGCTTCTACCCAGTGGGATGTGAACGCTACAGCAAAGCAACAGGTATGCAATTTAATATTCACAGCACGCAAATTCAGCTTTTCTACTGCTGATTTGTGTTCCTCGTTCATTTAAAAAATACTGCCAGAAACAGACAGATTAAATTGGGGCCAAATGTTCAATTTCAACCAAGACACAGAAATTTGTTAGATGTTTGCAAGGAAGCACCTGAGGCTTCACGTCAGTATTGGATGCGTTACCTATTATAATGGGGGGCTTTTTCTAACTGTATCATATATTACAAAAATATTATGAAATGATTCCATGAAAATCAAAGAGACTTGTAGTTATGAGAATTACATGTGAAACATGCAGTGACATCACTCTAAAAGTGCTCAGATTGGAGAAACACACACATGAGCAGTATCTCTGCTGCTCCTCCAAAGTTACCTCTTGCTTACCTCATCATAAGGCATCCATGTCCAGCTGTGCTACACTCTTTCCATTTCTGTGAGATGGATTGAACAATCCTCTGTAAGATGTTGGAATGTTGTTTTTTATTCTAATTATGCCCTAAACGTCTCCACATTTTCTCCCTGACTTGTCTGCTGTGTTCCTTCATGATGCTGTTTATTCACTAAAGTTTCTAACAAATCTCTGAGGCCTTTATATAACAGACATATTTAAGATTGAGATTAAACTTCCAACAGCTGGACTATCTTTAGTCCCGATTCTAACTTCTAATTATTAGAAGTTCTAAATTATTAAAGTATGTTTTTATGTGATTCAGAAAATAGGGTATGAAGACAATGCTTGCCACATTTTTGCAAACCATGTGTTGTTTTTCTCTAGTTTATCTTATAAAGGTCCCAATAATATTTGTTGCTCTGATGTTTAAAAACTCTCCTGTAATAAAATCGCTTTATTATTCATAACATCAACTCATTTTACATTAATCTGGTTTCATGTGTTCTTCCTTTGGTTTAAGAATATTGGGATGAGCCACTAGCATGTTGTGCTCTAAGTTTGTCCGCTACATTTAGCTTTGGAAAATGGTTGCACGTCTGTGTGTTTTTTTGTTGTTTTTTTTTTGCCTCGTTTTGACCAGAGGGGAAAATTCTAACACAGCAAGAGCGGGACTTACCTCTAACAACTCTGGAAAAGGGCTTTAATTCTTGTTTGAGAAAAAGCCAAATGACACATGAAACTCTTCCCTAAGGGTGGGAGCCTCAGAACAGCAGATGAAGAAGAGCATCAGTCCAGTGCTGTGCTGCAGAATCTAGGCCACTACTGGGGGCTGGGAAGTGTGTGTTACATGGTCTAGTGGCTCCATAGCTTTTGCAAACTAACAATGGCTGCATTCAGCATGACTGCGGCTGCAAGGCCGGGGCAGTCGCCTTTCAGCCGTCCCCTTGTTTCACTCTGCTGGAACTGGACCTCACTCCTCCCATCTCTCAAAAAGACATCAGCTTTAGTTTGAAAAGCTACTGTAAAGTGTAACTGTCACCTTCATGTGAGGGGAAAAAGTTTGGGATGGTGCTGTGACAATCCAAAATATTTGAAATTAGGATACTCATTTATTTTTGGCACATCTTTGTTTCTTTTCTTTTCTTTTCTTTTTTTGTTGTTGTTAATGTTAGACAGACAGATTAGGGAATGTGGGACAAATATGTGCTGAGTTAAACATTCTGGAATCAAACCAAGTACACTGACACATCCACTGTCTGCTGAGAAGTGCCTAACAAATACTATAAAAACTAAAATTATGCACATCACAGTCTTTTTAAGACTTTAATACCAGCAAGTAATATGTGTGACAAACAGCATCCTTGTTAATCAGCACACAACTTTCTGGATGCCTGAGCAGATACCCTGACTAATTAACCAGAAAACATAGGCTTGTTATTCTTACTCTATTAAGAGCAGGACAACAGAAAATGATCCATTTCCTCTCATAGTTCTAAATAGAGTGTTCATGATAAAATGTAATAAAAGTAAATAATTATAATACCATTTTAATAATCAAGATCATATGTTTAACTTGAGGCAGTAGGGATAAGTGATAATTTTATTCACTCTTTTTTGTTATGTAATTTATGCAGCTAGTTTAATAATTTTTCACAGTGTATTTTTTTCTCCTCACAGTTCATCAGGTCAGTGTCTGCACCCTGCATCCTGTTACAACTACAGTTTCCTTATAAAAATATTACCAGGCAATGAACAAATTAGCTCTCACATGCCTTTTCTGTTGTTTAGCTCTCTTGCCCTTTTCATTCTCAGTGCTCTGTGTACGTTTTTGTCTGGAAACTATAAATTCCTTGAAAACAGTCCAGAGAAGATGACATAATAACTGAAGTCTGAACCTAAAAGAAATCATTGGAGATCAGGATGATTTTAAACTGGAGGAAAACCACAAAAAATGCTTCTAAAGCAATTATATCAGTTAAACTGCATGTATATAGTGTATATCAAAGGTAAACATAACTAACTGAACTGGATTTGATCATATTTGACCATTTTCTGGAGCAAGACACAAAAATATTATCCAAAACAAAACTTCTTCCACATTCAATGGCTTCCATTTAAATAAAAAATTAACATCCCAATTTCAGGATACATATCTGATATCTACTGAATTAATGCGTTGACATTTATTCATTGCTCTTTAATCTGGAGTCAACTTCAACTGTAAAGCTGTGAATGAAGACAAAACAAGTTTGTTTCTGACAAAAGAAACTCATGAAATATTAAAACATTTATGATTTAAGTGGCTCTGTATGAATGATCTAATATTCTTTTTTCTTGTATTAATATTTACAGTTCTGAAGTTGGAAATAAATGTTTAATTCATTTATTCATACATCTTAATTTCAGAAGTTAGACATCTTCACATCTATGAGTTGCATGAGAGAAATCTCTCTACAGAAGACTACAATTCCTTCAACGAGTTTAACAAACCATGAGTTTTCTTAAAATACAACGATTATGAGTTCCTGAAATGAACTTTTCAACATGTTTTTTTTTTTTATATATAACAATGTTTGCTTTATTTTATTCCAGAGCCAAAACAGACCAAGCTGTATTAGAAATTTTACTTCTGGGGCAGGAGAGTATCCGAGCTTTGCAGAAATACAGCTAAGACGTAAAGCACATCCCAGAGTCATGCAGCTTTTCCTTTTCATTTTTTTTCTCTCCCAAGGAACAATGTGGCATATAATCTCTACTTTTAAGTAAAACTCTGCAAGAATGCCTACGCATGCCTGTGCACCTCAGTCAGTCCCACAGTGGAATATGCAAAATAAACTGCGCAAAGATAATGTGGTTTTCATGATGAAACAGACTTGTGAAAATTAGAAATTGATTAATAGGGATGTTTTGCATTAAGAAGATGCATTTGAGGATTCATTCTTAGGATGGCCTCTCTTGTTAATTAGCTGAGGAATGATTTGTGTCGAGCTGCCATTGTGTGTTGAAGGTGGATGCAGTGGGAGAAAAACATGTAGTTTGTTAATGGAACAGCAAATAAGTCATGAGGCACTACAGAGACCATGAAAACACACACTCAATAACAAATCTGTTCCAAAAAGAAAATAAGTCAGGCCTTCAGGCACAAGAAGCTGACAAAATAACAAAGCAAAGATTTTACGACTTTAATAAAGAAAACTGTGGAAATGCATAACAAAGACTAATTTGTTATGCTATTTTTATTGGTGTTTGGCTGAATGCATTGACTTTGAACATAAAAATATTACAATTTGGGTGCAAAGGTGCCAAAAAAAATCTTTAAAAGAAAAATGAGCAATATTCTCCCATACAGTTATAATAATAAAAGTAGAACTTTCTGGGTCAAAAACACTGACTGTGTGAAGTTTTGTTCAGCCTGTGCTTACAGCAGGGGGCTTATTAAGCTCCACATCACAGCTCCACGGTACTATTTCACATAACTATACTATATTTTAAAAATTGTTTTTTTTTTTGTTTTCTGAATTTTTATATGCATAAAACTGATAATGTATGTTTTGAGAGGTTTGTTTATGCCAGCAGGATGTACAACAGCACATAACGTGTCCTTCACACTTATCAGAACTCCCGATGAAGATGTAGCAAGCCTTAAATTATATTTATATCTTATTGCAGCAGCATAATCTTACCCTGGAAATGTTGGAAAAGCTAAACCTTTAATATGAGGACATATTTCAGAGTGGAAGCCTTCTGTTCTCTCGTTTCGGATCACTGGATGGGCCGTTCCAGCTGAGGACAAGTTTTACCACACTAGACTGTCTGCCTGGGATTTTAGGTCAATACTCAGTTCAAAGTATCTGCACTATCTTTATTTAGAACCCATCTGATTAGCATAATAAGCATGAACTACTGGACTTGTAATTTTTTGACCTTTTTTGTTAATACTGTTGGACACCCAGTAACTGAAATAGGTTGTTGAAGTGCATGCTGGGTAACAGAATGAGCAGGGCTCCTCCACTCAGCTCTAATAAAAGGAGGGATCTTCATTTTCTTATTATAAATCCATGCATGGGTCATGTTGAATCAGAGCTGATTGGGACAGACTCAAATAGCTCCTGCTGTTCTTTAAATAATGCATGGTGTGGCTTTAGCGTAGCTGGTAGACAAAATGCAACGTGTCCTATCAGTATAACGAACATGCATGAGAGCACAGATGTGATACGTGAAGAACATTTGCACATTTTCTGCATAAAATGTTTACTAATGTTGATCCATGTACATAAATATCAGGGAAAACATTGAAAATAATCAATTAATTCTCAATTAAAATATTTCAATTCAAGGTAAAAATATTAAAAGACCAGAGCAATGAATGTTTAGACAGAAGATATGTTTAAATCAACAACAGCCAGAATCTAATGGAGCTAAAGATGCATGCTCATTATTGCTACATCAATTGCTTCAACTTGCTCCAAATCTGAGTTTAATTAGTTATTTGGTGTGATGGATGATGACAAGCAGAGGATGTTCCTGCTGCTGTCATGCCCTTATTGCTTTGCTGTGGTCAGAGGTTTGTTTGCAGGCCAAAATAACTGACAATTTATTTATTTATTTGTCAGATAGTCAGTCTTTCAGTGCTTTGAAAGTAAATCCCCATTACAGACAAAAATGTAAAGAGGCCATTTACTGTTGTTTCAGATTAGTGCATATTTTTAAAGATAAACTTAAAAATTAATGAATAAGTGGAGCTTTAGGTTTTGTTCTCTAAGATGTAATATTCTGCAAAAAAACAGAATAAGAGCCTAAAGTCACATGACAGCAAGAAACTATATCTGATGAAAAATTAGTTTATTGTGGCGCCACTGCCACAATAAACTGATGTACAGAAATGTATTTTTAATCTCTGTGAACTGAACTGTGAAATGGTTCTGGTGAAGTGTAAATTGGGATGGACCTTCCCACAGAACAAAGTGATATTACATTCCTACAACCTGAATCACTACTCAAAAAAGATATAAGTGAAAACCATAAAACAAACCCATTGACCTTTAGATTGTCAAGCACCAACAAATTGTTTTTTAGTAAATATTAGCAACAAAGAACTTCAGCAAACAGATTTGTCTTATGCAGGAACCCAAACCTTCTGGCTGTTAAACATCAGTGTAATCTTGGATATAATTTTCAGTAACTTGTCTTTTCAGTGAATAAATTAATTTAAATAAACTGAATTTCACAGTTAGTAGGAATCTCCGGAAAGAGCTTAAAAATATATATATCTTCGAAAACATGTATTTTTGCCTCAAATTTACCTATGCAAAACAAAGTATGAAGTCAATTTTGTTCTGTACCAACAACTACTTTTTGCCTATTTATGTTCCCAACCTCACCTGGCTGCTGTTTTCCCCTTAATCTGGTTTGAACACTTCTTGGGAAATAAATGTCACCACTGCTCTCCTGTGAGCCTGGCTGTCAGCTTTCGTGTGGCAGTAAAAAGCAGTCAGTTCCTGGGCTCTGTGCCTCTCGCTCAGCTTGTAATTGCTTCATTAGAGCTTCTGCTGCATCTCTACCTTGTAGCTTGGGAGATTTAATAAGAGCAGAAATGCAGCTTGCAGACTTCTCTGTCTAGGCTGCTGGGTTATTGCTGTGGAATTTCTTATAACATGAAGACAGAAAGTCAAAGAACATCAAATTAAGTACACTCCTGGATCCTTTCACTTGAGCACAAGCAGCAAATAGAGCTCTCTCAAAACCACTAGGCTAAAGATTTCATGCTGCTACCAAGACTGCAAAGCAAATCAAAATAAAAGAAAAGAAGATCCATGAGATAAATGTTTGCAAACCTGGATTTTTGAGTGTTTCAAGTCAGATCTGCTCAAAAAGTGGGTCTCCTAAGCAGGTTTAACTCTGCATTGATGAAGTTTGCTTTTTTTTTGAGCAGAAAAATAATGAGTAGGAATGTTAATGAAGTGATCCGCATTTGTAGTGAAGCCATCTGACATTTAAAAATACATTTCTATTTAAAAAAATTGTCTTAATCGTGCTACAAATTAGTTTATTACTTCTTTAAAATTCAGAAACCTTTTGATTGTGGAAAGTTCCAACAGATGTCTTCAGACAATGTGCAGCTGGCTCCACTATAGCTCTCACAGCATCGTAAAGTTAAGAAAAGGTTGTGTGTCATTCAAATGTGTTGAGTCCACAGCTTTGATGTAAAATCACAAACTACAATTCCCACAAAACTCTGTATAGGTAGACGTTTAAAAGTATTAGGTGCTTGTTGCTCCAACGCCTGAATAAATCGCCAATGTCTCCTCTAACGGTTGACAAATGATGAGTGTTAACACCATCTCTTAATTATATCACATGCAGCTGTTTATATCTGGGGCTGCCATGATTTTTAGTAACTTATTTTTTGAACAAGCTTATTCACGTGTGATTTTAATTTAATTTTTTATTTAATAGGAACACTGCAATTTCAAAACTGAGTTTTTTCAACATTAAAAATGTCAGAGCATAAGATGAAGGGATCTGCTGTGGATATAAAGCATAAAGCAAAATCTCAACAGAAAAGAAAAGATGAAATTGTAAGACACATGAATGAATTTGACATTTTAAGGCATCCTGTGGTTTTATTTATGATTATGAATATTTATTGACATGATAGAGCTCTGTGGAAGAACCCAATGCAGGACGATGAGACCCAAGCTTAGACTGAACACAAGGATGAAGGGTGCTGCCACGCAGAATCTACAGTAAGACTTTACTATATTTAGCAAACAACATGGGGGGATGGTGAAGGCTGATGACTGAGTGTTTGACCAGAGGAGGAATGTGTCTGTAATATCTGTGCATAAACATAATTATGAGCACAAAGCTGCTGAAGAGGGAGAGGGTGTTGCATGTAATCAAGAGTGTGTGCATTCAAATATTTCTTTAAAAATAACATGCATTTTTATGATCATATTTCTGTAATTTCTGCATCTGCCAGAAATTACACACTCACGTGATGACCAGCGAGGTGGAGAAGAGCAACGTTCCCAGCAGGCCGCGCCGGCAGTCCGCGTTCTTCCTCTGCCTTTGGTGCATCTCACCACCACAGTTGTCGCAGCAGCGGCACATGCAGAAGAAGAGTCCCACAACCGGCATGAGGATGGCGAAGAGCAGACCCACCGCTGCACATATGAGGAAGCCTATCTCATAATAGATGGCCTGGAGTCAGTGGAAGAAGAATGAGAGGAAACTATGAGTATTATCATAAAAGAAACAAGAAGGGGGTATAAATATGGAAATAAAGTTAGATGGGGAATCACACGTGAAAGGAGATTACGTGTTGGGTTGGGAGAGTTTGGAAGGCAGGAATTGAAGAAAGGAGAGATTAATGAGGGTAAAACAGAGGAGAAAGAAGGAAGGACACACAAGGAGGCCAAGGATAAAGAGAGCAACAAATCTAAAAATATCTGGAAGATCCCAGGGCTGCAAAAACTCCTCTTGTCTAACGGACATGTACATAAACAAAGAACATTCTAAGTTAATTTGATTCAGATTTTTTAATTATCTCTTGCTAACAAGCTAAAATGGGACAACCAACCTCAGACTCATTGATAACAGATTCAAATTGTAACAGAAAAATCTGAAGAAAAAAAATCAATAAGCCCCAAATCAATCAGTCAGAGATTACATTTTCCTCTTTATTGTTTCTGTTTGGTGGTCAGCAGGACAGGTACATGAAAATAAGACTTTTATTTGTATGCCTTAAATGCATCAGAATTAAGAAGTTACATCATCAACCAACATTGGGTACAAAGGTTTTTTTTTGTTTAATAATCTAAATGCATTGTACAAATATACTTTATTTTCTGTCATCTTCAAAACAGTGATCAAAGAATCTGAAGGACACGTTTTCCTCTTTTTTGTCCGATTGTCCTTCTATGAATTATAGTCCTTAAAATAAGCAGAACTGGCAACTCATGCATCAGAGAAACCTGGAAAACAGCATTAACTTGAAAAGCGTGGTCAGTGTATCGCTACAAGAAAACCCTCTGGCAGTGTGCATATTTCAAATAATGGAGACCAGAACAATAGCAGGAATCTGACCTATCTGAGTTAGCCTGCAGTGTTGTTTTTCATTTCTGATGAAAAACCTGACTGAAGAGGAAGCAGAAAAACATTGTGAAGGAGCTCTTTAACTGAACCTGACTTACAAAAACAGGTTTTATTTGAAACAAGACAAATCCACCAAGAACTGAGATGATCACCAGTTTCACTGAGATTCAACTGAGAAAGGTTCAATTGAATGAATGATTTTGACAGAAAATGAATAATTTTGAAATAACTTTTTTTAATAGTAGTCTACATTTTAAAATCAGAAAACAGCATATTCCTAGTATTACAATATAATGTATTATAATGTATAGGACTCTGTCCTGTCTTTATGTGGTCACCTAGGAAACAGACATATCTCTCCACACAAAGCCTCAGTAATCCCAGGATCCATCTGAATGCCATAAATATTCAGGTTGACTAAACTGCTGCTGAAATGCTCTGTGAATATCTTCTGCCTCGTTTTATCTGAATTTCCACAGGAGTCTGCCCTATTAAACCTGCATTCATCACAGGATTTGAAATTTGACAAAACTTTAAAGGCTGTTAGTAATCCCTCCTAGTAAATGTAACTTTAGTACCACGGTTTTTGCCTGTCTTGTATGAAAAGATCAGAGTATGACGCTCAGTGGTCCCGAAGGGCTGAACAGGTCTTCCTCTCTAATCTGCACTAATCTTAAATATTCGGATCCGAAATATTCTGATCCGAATATTTCGGATCAGAAATATTCCTCTATTCTTCAGGAAATATTTGTGCAAAAGAACTTTTTAAATTGAAAAGCAATTACTGGTATCATAAGTCTGATAATTTTTTTTTTTCTGATCTAAAGTCATAAGAGTGAAGGATCCCGGTATCAAATCTTACAAAACAAAAATTGGACAGTAGTAATGTTGGTAGGAAGCAAAGGAGAAAATGGCAGGAGGCGTAAGTGAGTTTAAATGTACGTGAGTCATTTAAAAGCCCCAACGTCAACCTGCTGTTGGGGACATTGTAGAAATTTAAATGTCCGCACTGTCATTGTGCTTCTGGGCACTGCTTGTTATTGGGTGAATCCTCACACAAAAAGGTCAGCCATGTATATATGTTTTTCTTTCCACAAAATCTCTTAGAGTGCCTCCAGCTTAGACTATTTCTGGACTCCAGTTTTGTCTTGGCAAGTGCCCAAAAGAAAAAGACGCCCTTCTAATAAGAACAAAGGGGATGATGGGGTGGCAACATGTCTTACTGATGTAAATTTGATTAACTCTAGTGCCAGCAGCCACCATTAGACCTGCTAATAACCTGCCTAATGTGACTCTAAATTTAATACCTTTAAGTCATAACTTGAGATGCACCAGTCCGGTAATGGGGAAAACGTTTGTTTGAGCATTTTCTTTTTCTATTTCAGCTTGATTTGTTGTTATAGCAGAAGCACCGGATCAATGGACCAAGGTCAGGAATCAAATAAATCTTTTTTACTGCACCCTTCTTGTGACTCAAAGTCTAAATTTTACTTTTCTTTTATAAGTAAAATTATTACCTTAATCAAACTATTACCTTAATTTAACTTCCATGGAGATGAAAGGTAAAGGGAGTGGATTTGAATGATCTCAGTTTACATCGCATATAAATCAGTCAGAACTCAGTAAAGAACTCCATACAATATAATAGTTAAGGGTAAAAAAATAGGAGTGAATGCATGCAGGCTGATGTGACGTCTTATTTCACTTTCACCTTACCTTCTTATTTTTTGTTTTCATTTTATTGCTTCCATTTGTTTTTCAATTTGCTGCTAATAAACCTGAATTTCACCATTGAGGGACAATAATACTCCATGTTCAGGCAAATTTGTATCTGTGCAGAAATCAACAAGCCTTTGTTGACTTATTTTCAAGAAAATGCTTCAATTAGTTTTTAAAATCCAATAATATATAAACTTACTACGAGGCCTTTTATTGCATATTGTAACAAAACACATAGATATGCAGTATGAGTGGCTTGTACTGTAAATGTGCTCAAACTGCTAATGTTAAAATACTGGATTATGTTACTTGACACTTATTACAACAAAAACTATGCCGCAACTAAAAAGGAACAAAAGGTCCTCATTTCAGAATTGTCAACATGCAACCAGTTCAAAACTGAAAACAACAATCAGGTAAAAAGAAAAAACAAATAAAAAATCTGAATTACCATGTTATGATTAAGCACTGTTGTTTTTTTCTGTGATTGCATTTCTCCTTCTGAGAATATGCTTTTAAAAGAGAACATGACAAACTGAAGGATGGGGTTGAAGGAAAATGGGATGGTAGCGTGAAAGTCAAGGGCTACACAACTAATCGCTGATGCTTCTGTAACTTATCAAATGATGAGATGGAACGAAGTTCTGAACAAGTTAAGATGCCTTTCTCAGCTGTAATTGTGCCGCCCTGTTGACTTACAGAAGCACACACTGAATATGGCTTGGACTGGAAGTCCAGAGTGTGGACTTTACCTGCAGGGTCAGCACTATGTTCTCTGGCTGGGGGAAGCCAGACGAGATGAAGAGGACATGCAGAAGACACGGCAATGCAGCATCAGAGAAAGAGCAAAGCCACAAAACATAAACATGAGATGAAAACGAGCAATAGAAAATTAAATCAAAGCAAGCATGCAAAAGCACTGTTGCATATTGTAACAAAACACATAGATAGTGAAAAAGGCTGTTTTTAGTTCATTTAAATTTTATTCTTTTCCAGGCTCAAAATTATTTTATATACAGAAAAGTTGCACCCAAATGTTGGGTATTTACCAGAAAAAAAGGTTGTGTTGCCTAGGCTAATAAAAGGTTGTAATTGGAGTATTACTATCATTAATCAGTATTAAACCCTGAGAGCAGTCCTTATCTGTCCTGCTTCAATATGGCAATACAAGCATTTTTTACATTTTAACTGAATGTTGGATCAGAGAGTATCCCAGAGATTTTTTTTTTTTTGTATTTGTTTACTGTTTGCATAAGATATTCAACATCCAGATGAAGACATGGTTATTTCTCTGTCTTTCACTCACCTTTTGATATTCTGTTTGAATGGCTCCAAACTTGTCCTTTGCCAGCTTCACAATAAGATCTGTCAGCACAAGAAAAACAATTTTATTTTCCAGAAAATAACGGGAATAACAATTCACTGTGTTTCCAACAAGTTGTCTAAAAACTCAAACATAACCTAACTATTGTATATTCAGTTTGAACAGGTATGTCTCCATGGTTTTCTTATTTTCTACAATTTGTTGTGAGTTCCTTTCATTCTTTAGTCTCTTTTCTGCACATGAAGTCCATTAGCACAAGGACAGTTTGGTGTGGAGTTAAAGTCTGGAATCAAAGCTGAAGTCATCAAGATTTAATATATATTGCATATATTTTACATATATTACATTAAACTATATAATGATTGAATTGTTATTGCCCAGACTTATGTATAAAAAAATAAAATAAAATGAAGTGTGTCTCCATCATGATGCATGTCAATAATGTGTTGAATAAGACACGCAGGGAGATCATGAAAAAGATAAGTTTTTAATACACCTCTGGAATGACGTTATGATGCATACTTTATTTTGCATAAAAGTAACAATATGAACTTTTACATAATCTGTGATAATTATTGACTCATTTCAAACGTTTTCAACCATTTTCAGTTTTTTTTAAAACTCTAAATAAAACACAAAAATAAATACAACTTAAGCAGTCTGCTATTACCCAAAGCGAGTGACTTTATATCTTTCACTCAGCATCATCTGGGAAATACATTTGCTCCTGTGTCAAATAGTTGTGATTGTCAACATTTTAGTGGAAAAAAAATGGAGCCCCACCCTGTGCATTAACGAAGAAAATATTGATGACTGACCATCTTCCTATGTATGTTGTGAGCAGGAAATAGATCAAATGCATCTAATAAATAAGTACAACAATGTCCATAAAAGTGTATACCCAGTGTCACTGCAGAATATAAATAATCCCTAAGCAGTTCAAAAAAACAGCACAAGTAAGACAAAGGTTTGTTTTATAGTTGTAAGTCAATCATTACATTAAAAAGACAAAAATAAACAACAAAAACTACGTTTTGACAAAGTTGACATTTAAGAATGACCCCTATAACCAATAAATAAATATCCATTTTTGATTTATAAAATGTGCAACAGGTATTTTGTAGCTCAAGACAGTGCCTTGCTCTTAGGTGTGGAATTAAGAATTGATGAGACAAACAAGAAAAAAAAAGAAGACATTGAATCAGAACCATCTGAGAAGGTGCAGAGAAAACCAAGAGGGGGAGCAAATGCTGCAGAGAAACACTGAGCAACAACCAAAAGAGGAATTCAACCCCACCTGTTGGTAGGATTAATACACAAAGCACAGAGAGATGGGAGACGATGTCCTCTTTTATTTTTACTGGTGGGAAAAATGACATGATGCAGTTTGTTTCATAAAAAAACAACTTTAAGAAGTTGTTTTTCAGCACGCCCTAAAACCAGCATATGCAAATCAACTCACAAGCTTCTAAAGTCAAATACGGTTTTATTTTTTTACTTGAAATTTTAGCATCCAAATGCAGTTGTGAGCTTATCCTCATACAGGTGTCCAGCAACAATAATTAAGTTAAGAGCCACTGAAAGGTTCACAGAGCGTCAGGTTGGAGACGCCTGGCCTACACAGCAAAGTGACTGTCGGGAAGTTACAGTCAAAGCAACAAGAAACAATGCATCTCCTCTGATTCTGTTATCTTTCATTTGTTCACAGTCAGCGCTGACTGTGACTCATCACACGATGATAGAAAAAGCAAGACTTTCAAAAAAGATGCAAGCGACATAAAAGTTTTCCTTTATCTGCAGAGTACTATTTGTTTTTCCGAAAGATAAGATACAGAACAAGCTGTTACAGAGCGACTTCGATATAACAATAACACATTTCTGAACTGTACATATGATTAAAGAAAGACATTTTAATATAAACAGGTTATTCATTCACCCAATTGTTATGGATGCATAAGACAAACCTTTTTTACAGTACAGTATCTAATTGCCTTTTTTCAAACATCTATAAGGCAGAATTATTTGACTCAGTCCTTCCTGTACTTGATGCGTTTACAGGTCTGTTCGGTTTAACTGGATGTCCCTCACTGAACAGCAGTTTTCCTGTGTTCTTACTGTAATCCAACATCTGAGCTATGTGATGTTTATTCTTGATTAAATTTTCCCACCAAGATGAGAAACACAACCCCACTTTCGAGGTCAGTTTGTTCGTGTGTTCTGGGTCGGTTCCTCCGCCCCAAAATGGCTGCCAGCAATCCCTATTGTACGTTTCTGGGCGAAGTGTCACATGATCCAGCTTTTCTGAGGACATTAGGTACAATGTGTTTCCAACCAGACCTTGGGCTTAGGGTGTGTTTTTAGTCCATTCATCATGGGGAGTACACAGACTGTAACTGTAAGCTTTTATTATAGCAAACAAAAGCTTGAATGGCTGAAAGCTGGAAAAAATCTCATAACAGGAAAAATTAGGGCATCAGTTTCTGTAACTCTGTTAATGAAAAGATGAGATCAAATGACATTTCAGATCAAAACTAGAAGGAGAGGATCAGTAATGTTGCCTGTTGTTATGCAGATAATACACAATAACTAGTTTTCATAAATGGTGCAACAAATATCCAGGCACCACAGCAAAATAAAGCATATCTTGTATTTATTTTTTTGAACAGTGGGCAGTACGATGCTGGTCAGTCATCACTTATTGAGGTTTTTCCAATAAAAGTTGCAGCAACTGTTATTTGTATCAAATAACAGAAGTTAAGACAGCATATCTGACATAAGTTATCAGAATGAAAACAGTGTTGCAACAAGATAAAAAAAACAAAAAAGCAGGAAGGAAAGAAATGTTAAAAAAATGAGGGAGTTAATGAATGTTAAGAACAACATCTGAGGAAAAGAGTGAAAGTGAATCCAGTCTCTGCTTCTTAAGATGTGTCTAATCCTCCTTTATGAACAAAAAACTCAGTTTTTCCTCCCACATTACTCCTCTCTTCACTCTTTACACCAGTGCCTGTCCTTTAAAAACCACATTAATGTATTTGTCAGGATGAACTGGCCTTAAAAAGCTTCAAAAACAAACTTGTCACACGAAAGATGTATACAGGCTTCAGCAGCCAGCCCTGCCTGTCTATGAACTGTATACTTTCCCTTTGAAAAAATGCAAACATCAAACTGAAATGTACCAGGCGGTAAATTAACCGTTGTATCTACTTTCAGGAGTATGAGCTTCAAATGAACTCATGGCACAGCAATCCCAGCAGATTTACTGAAGCTTTGCAGGCAGCTCAAGATAAAGCAGAACCTGGCAAGATGAATTTTTCTTCAGTTTTCACTAGAAGGGAGTCACCCACCCAGAGGAATGCAGCAGCTCCTCATCTATCTGCTACTCAGTTGGAAACAGCAGAGGAAAAAAATTGGACAGCCAACAACAGTAGGAATGCTGAAGATACTGAACTCAGTCTTAGACCAACACTTTAATCTCAGCAGGCTGGGCTGTTTAATCTTGCAGCTGCAAGATGGCATTTTGATTTGCAGAATAACTTTTAAATCAGTCTGAATTCTGATCCAGGTACTTTTAAATTCAAGATGAAGTTAGTTGTTTATTGAGCAGGTTTGTGGAAAGTAGAGCCAAAATAAGATGCAAAATCTTCCCAAACCAAAAAACCTAAAAAAGGTGAATAAAAATGATCAGTTTTCACCTGCATTTTACCGCCAATTAAGTTTTTTTTTTCTATCAGAATCTTACAATTTAATCCCCAGTAAAGATGGCATTGATGGTTGCAGTGATTAATTATTTTTAGTAAACTTTTCTGACCTGCTTTGTTATTTAAGAAGATTTTCTTCTTATTTTGGTGCAATCAAAATGTTTCTGACGGTTGGCTCAGGTATTACAGTTATGCTACTGTAGGTTAAACCGAATGACTGAATGTTGGTTAATCCGGTCGGGAACCTGACTGGCTGTCTGAGGATAAAAAGGCGATTAGTGTCATGGATGAAATCATCTGCCAGAAGTGTTTAAGACTGTAACTTTATGGTTAAAAAAAGGCTTTGGACATGGGAATAACCGCCATTATAGTCAGCGATTTATAGTATTTCTCTATAACATGCTAATAGTCTGCCATCAGCAAATGTTCTTTTGACAACTAAGAAGTATCCATCTTTACAAGGTTGCACATGTTGGGCCTGGAAACATTAGCTATCTTATTTTACAGGAAATGACTAACCTGATTTAGAATTATAACCACAATCAAAAATAAAAATAGTCAGTTTGTATGAAATGGCAACATGACTGTATAAAATGGGAGTATGAACTACAGAACACTTACTGGAAGCATGATAAGACTGGGCTTTGTAACTGCTGTGGTTTAGGCACAATTAGCTTTTCAGAAATTTCATAGAACACAGACATTGTGAAGTTCATGGCTTTGACAAACAACAGGTTTTTATTTGCTTAAAAAAGATACAGAAAGCGAGTCATGGTTGACGATGAAATATAATATCAATGGACATCATACAAATTAAACAAGATATGTAAACTCTGATCAACTGAATAAAAAAAAGCGCAAAGAGAGTCAGTATCAAATGCTACTGGCATCCAAAAGTTCCCCACTAAAATGTGATTTTAATCCTGGCACATTTCAGGCTGAATATCTGAGCTCTCTACTTTCAGAATTAATTCAAAATGTTTGATTTCCCAGCACAGACCTGCTTTTAAGCATAGTTCACATTAGTTTTAAAAGGAGGAGGTCAATGCTGCGCATTCCACAGTCAGAGGTGCATTTGGAATCATTTTTTATGGAACGTGCAATTCTGTTCATGTTTAAGCTATTAGTTTGGTTTAATTAAGTTGGACAATTTGAAATGAACTCTTCATCTTCACCGTTTCATCCACCGTGTTAAACTACGAGAAGGCAGTCACTTAACCACTTTCCATGTTAAACTGATAATTGCAATAAAATAGATTTTTTTATTCTTCAGACATGTGTGATCACATATTTCACACATAACAATATAAGCCTTTCATGGTGAATCACACTGCCTGTAA